GGGCTGGGCTAGATGGAAAGTGAGGAAAGTTTTTTTCATGTAAGAGCACCAGGTTTTTTTTCTTTTTGTCTTTTTAAGTAGTGCTTTAGGCTTCTGCATGAAGAAAGCAGTGAGGGTGAGGAGCCAGGGCTAGACCAGAGGCTCACATTAAATCTCTATGATTTTGATGTTGGAGATACTGAAGAAGGCCATTTTGCTACACTCAGCTGTCTTAAATTACAGAACAGTGCATTTGGTGAAATTTAAGGTTTATAGTGAAAAGACACAAGATTGTCATAGGTCTAGAATCAGTGAATGAATAGGGTTAGTAAGTGAATGAGCCCAATATTAGAAATGAAACTTTTAGAAAGCAAAAAAAAACAAAGAGGGAGAAAGCATAAGAGTATGATTTAGGTCAGAAAAAATACTTGCCTGATGTGAGGATTATAGCATTAATGACAAGTAACAGTTTAGCTCAGATCAGGATTGGTTATTTTTTTTTTAAGATTTTATTTATTTATTTGACAGAGAGACACAGAGAGAGAGGGAACACAAGCAGGGGGAGCAGCAGAGGGAGAAGCAGGCTTCCCACGGAGCAGGGAGCCCAATGCAGGGCTCGATCCCAGGACCCTGAGATCATGACCTGAGCTGAAGGCAGACACTTAACGACGGAGCCATGCAGGCGCCCCAGGATTGGTTATTAAAGTCATGGGGGAAGCTTTGGGCAGAGCAGCAAAAAATTGACAAGCACACATAAGGAAAGGTACTGGAATTTTCAGAGAGGACCAAAAAAAGTGGAATGATATTACAGTATGAATTTGCATAAATTTTCTTATGTTTGTGCTACAAATGCTCCTTAAGATGTAAAGGAACGTGGAAAGATAACCTGCCCTGATATGTTCTTTCATTGCTCTGAGTGCTCTTGGACAGACTCTTCCTGAGGTATTGTCACGTTAATACAAATAATAGAAATGAATAAGAATTCATGTATTTCTTTATCATACACCTGAAACTAATATAACACTGTATGTTAACTAACTGGAGTGGAAGTAAAAACTTTAAAAAATTGTATTTAACACATTTCTTGAGCTCCTGCTGTAAGCCAGCAGGGAGCATGATATACTCAAGTGGGGGGTATGCTCCTCCTTCCAAAGAGCTCATGAATAATGAAGTTGTAAGAAATGCAATGGAGGAGAAACAGGTTGGAAAACATCAAGGTGGGGAAATGCGAATATGAGTTTATAAAGAAAATAAGAATTTACCAAGGCATTTTTCTGCAAAGGAATTTTTGTAGGAAAAGTTAGCTGTGTGTAGAAGAAAGAAATTTGTCAGAGACTCTTCTGCTCATTCAAGTATGCATTCAGGGACGCCTAGGTGGCTCAGTCGGTTAAGCGTCTGCCTTCGGCTCAGGTCATGATCCCGGGGTCCTGGGATCGAGCGCCGCATCAGGCTCCCTGCTCGGCAGAGAGCCTGCTTCTCCTTCTCCCTCTGCCTGCAGTTCTGCCTACTTGTGCTCTCTATCTCTCTGTCAAATAAATAAATAAAATCTTTAAAAAAAAATCTATTACCAAGTATTCATTCAGTGGTACACTGCTCTGCTCCAGAGGGACTGAGTGGGCAGGTACGGGGCTATACAGAGGGGACCATCAGAGCAGAGGAAGTACATCAAATTCAGAAAGGGAACTCAATGAAGGGTTCTTAGGAAGTATCTCTTTTGGAAAGATCATCACACTTCAGGAGTGAAAGCCATTGACTGAATAAGGGAGTAAAAGCATGGTATAAAAAAAAGGAATACTCCTCTTCTGTTCTGTTCTACTCAGTTCTAATCATCTACCTATCTGTATTTCAATCAACCAGTCATCATTTACCTGTTATATACAAAGGCACAAAGATGAGTGAGAGCATGAAAACTGCAGGTACTTAGGGTTTTATCTGCTAGGCTTTATGCAAAGCTCTTTATATCCAAGCATAGAGGTTAAGAAGGTTGGAGTCAAACAGAAGTGGTTCTAGTCCCAGCTCTACCACTTACTACTTACGTGACCTTGAACTATTCATTCAGTGTCTCTAGATCTGTTTTCATTGTAAAATGATAATAGTAATAATACCAATCTCACAGCACAAAATCAGGTTTTTCTTAATAAAACCACTTTGCATGATGCTGGCGTGTGGCAAGTGCTTAGTAAATGCTGTTCCATTTTTATTACAACCTTTGTTTTATTCACAAGAGGAAGCTGTGGTTTACAGTGTGCTCTGGTTGAGCTCATGAGTGGTGGAGCCAGCCCTGCCTGGTTGTCTCATACTTTAGCAGATGGTGGGTGTCAGAAATAAGGCTGGAGGGGAAGGCAAGGCCAGATGGCTCAAGGAGCTCAGGATGTTGAATTTTATCACACGAGCAGTGGAGAACCACCGTAGGACCTTACAGTTGAGATTGACAAGATAAACTTTGCATTTTGGTTTTTTTAATTTTTTAAAAGACTTTATCTGAGAGAGAGAGAGACAGATAGTGATAGAGATACTGAGAGAGAGCACAAGCGGGAAGAAGAGGGAGAAGCCGGCTCCCGCTGAGCAGGGAGCCCGACGCGGAGTTCGATCCCAGGACCCTGGGATCATGACCTGAGCTGAAGGCAGCCTGAGCCACCCAGGCACCCCAAACTTTGCATTTTAGAACGATTTTTTTCTGGCAGCACTATGTTGAATGGTTCGGAGGAAGGAATGGTGCTAGCTGAAAGCCAGTGAGGAGGCTGTGGCAGTGGTCCAGGAGGGAACGGGCGAGGAATGCATGCCGGGGGATGGATGGAACGGAGCATTTAGCCAAAGGCGGGATGCTGGCGGGGGGTGAGGAAGAGCTAACAAGTGGGGGGCATTCAGCTGCCCCAGGGTATCTGGCTTCCTTGACTGGGTAGATGGAGGCAGCTTGGGCCAACATGGTGGATCCCAGAGGAAGGGACTTTGAGCATGGTAAACATGGGTGCTTGTGAGTCCTTGGAGGGAAGCATCTGCATGGCAGTTGGACACAGAGAACTAAAGGTCAGGGGGAAAGTCAGGACTGCAGATGTTCACTTCCGAGTGGAAGATGTGGATGTGAAGGAGCTCATTCAGCTGGTCTCTGCTCAGCCCTGAGCACCCAGATCAGGGCTCCTCTCCCCACAGATAGGAAAAGATAGCCACCATCACTGCTTTCAGGGTGTTACACTCAGGGGAGGAGACATCAAACAAGTCACAAGTAGATGAAAAAGGTAACTCCAACGGTCGCCGAACGCTAGCAACGTAATGCTGTGGGTAAACGGCAAGGTGGCTGACACATTGGATAATCTGCCATGAAGAATGAGAGAAATACTCACTTTTTAAGACTTCACAGTTAGGCAAGACAGTTCACTGTAATCCCATAAGGGAGACTGATTTTGCCACAGGAAGAAACCGTGATGTTCTAAAGAGAAGATAGACAATTACCCAAGACTGGGAGACCCTTTTAAGACTTAGGTCAGCCTCTAAGGTTGAAGTAATTAGTTAAGAGGAAGAAGTAAAAACGAGTGGATACTCAGAGGGTCGGGGACGAGGCAAATTCACACATTCTGAGTTTCATCAGGGAGACAGGTATGTGGGAATGTGAGGACACTGTGTTGCTTTGTGTGTATAAAGGTACACATGAGGATATCACATACACGGTTCTTTGAGCCCCAGATGCTCACGGGGTGCCTGGGTGGCGGGTGAGGGGCCACAGCGCTGAGCAGGGTGGAGGCAGTAGGACACGGCGGCTCAGGGAGCACGCAGTCTGGTGAGGGCCCACGAACATGCTGAACATGCCTCCAGAGTGCGGAATGTGCTGGGAAAGGAGTGGGGCCTGTGAGAGAATCCAGGGAGGCCCTGATCTCAGTTGACGGGTCACCAACCAGCACTTCCAGGTCTGCTCCCAAATGATGGCAAAGCGAAGCAAAATCAGGTGTGGTATTTGGAAAGTTTGAGACTCACTGGCTTAAGTACTAAGTCAGCAAACAGCCTGCCAGAGCAGGTAAGCAGGTGCCTGGGGGAGATAAGCTTATGCGAGGAGGCCAAGAGAGAAAGGGATGGAAGGAAGAAACCCGGAATGCCGGGTTTTGTCAGGATTACTCTGGGGGAAGCTGCCAGATGTCAGAGCGTTGTTTTGGGCCCAGTGGCCACTCCCAGAGCAGTGAGGACTGGGAGAGAGCAAAGAAGGCGGGCGGCAAGGGCACCTTTCAACCATGCCAGCTCCTCACCAAGTCCCATGCTCAGAGCCGGCCAACAGCACTGCACCATCCCAATCTTCCTTGGATGTGAAACTGCTGGGGATGAAACCCAGGGCGGCCCAGAGCTGCCCGACAGAGGGCACCCGTGACACCCTGCACGATGTGGAGAAAGCCATCTGCTGTTGGCCTTTGGGGATCTTCATTTTCCCCGAAGAATTAGAGGACCACACGGTTGTTGGGAAGAAAGAGTTGTGGGAGCATAAGGGAGGAATGATTGAGGAGATGCGGCGATGGGACGAGGAGAGGCTCTGGTTTCTCTATTAACAGTACGTTTCCAGTTGCCTTTTGCTACAGTCCTCTTGATTTCAGTGGTTCTCCCAGCAGATGGGCGGTCACAACAGTTGGGTGGGCAGATTGAAATGTGGGTTTATGAGAGAAAACAGAAGCTGGAAAGGCTGGGGAAAGCTTAGGAAAGGTAGATTCTCCAACTTGCCCCAGACCTGGGGATGGCAGGATGGTGAACGTGTGGCCAGCTTCCCAGGCGACTCCTGCATGCATCGATGCCATCTTCAGTAGGTGGTGCGGAACCTGGGAAGCAATTCCCAACTGAGCCTGATGATCTGTGTGCCCATGGGCCCAACCCCAGGGGCACTGAGTAAAATCTCTGGGCGTGAGGATGACAGAGGTCATGCGGTCAGCTCCTAGAGCCCCATCAGGTTTGGGATTCACTGGGCTCATGTGTCATATTCTTTACAGTATGTTTCTGTTAGAAATTCCAGAGTACCTAATTCTTGTTCTCTTTTCCCTTTCTACCAGGCACTGGGAAATCATGAATTTGATAATGGTGTAGAAGGACTGATTGATCCACTCCTCAAAGAGGCCAAATTTCCAATTCTGAGTGCAAATATTAAAGCAAAGGGGCCACTAGCGTCTCAAATATCAGGACTTTATATGCCATATAAAATTCTTCCTGTTGGTGATGAAGTTGTGGGAATTGTTGGATATACTTCAAAAGAAACCCCTGTTCTCTCAAATCCAGGTATTTTCTACTTTTATAGCACTCATTGGTTGCAAATAGATGTATTAAATCAGAGCTTGGCATGATTTTTATGGACTGTGGATAAAAGCTGGAACAACATGTGGTGTTGGGCAAGTAGTCTACTTGGGATAACATTGATGAAACCAGTCTGGTGGCCTCCACGTTGTTCTAAATTACTTCTTAAAGACATTGCTCTTTTTTCAGTGAACTTCCTTGTTGACATACACAGTATCTTTGTTTAATTCAGTGGATTCAGAATTGGGCAAGAAAGCTGTTTACGTCCAGGGTTAACATTACAGAATAATTTACTGGAGAATGAAACATAAGTCACTGCCCCTTTTCCTGTGGAGTCAGAGGGCCCGGAGCTAGGGTTTTACCTCAGTTTACCTTACCTTTCCTTTTCTAGTATGATCATTAGATGTCTAGTTAACTCTCCTTTCTTTCTGTTCATTATCTATCTTTTCTATTTAATGACTTTGTTGTATCTGGCTTTCTGAGGAATACATATCCTTGAGAAGTCCTATGGTGTATATATCCTAATATAAATGTCTTACATATGCTATATTTCATACAGCATGAACATATACGTGCGTACATATATAATCCTAAAGTTATTCAAGAAACATTTTTGAGGCACTTTCACAGGAACACTTTGACCGAAACACTCTGGCAGCGAAAACGAAAATGACTTTTTTTCTAAATCATCCAAATCCGTTTTCTTCCCATATTTGAAGGGAATAAAAAGGGCAACTGACAGGAATAAAAGGCGCAGCACAGGGGATTTAGTCAGTGGTCCTGTAGTAGCGTTGTGTGGGGACAGGTGGTAACAGCCCTTGTGGAGAGCAGAGCGAAAAGAAACAGGAGAAGGAAAACCAGGCGCAGGCATTCTCCAGAAGCAGGGGTTTTCATGAAGCATTAACTGATAAAGGCCCTGCAGTCATTTAGCAATTAGAAAAGTGATCTATTTATTGTTGTTGCTAGAGTCAGTCCAGACCACTGGGAATGACGGGAAGGCCAGCGTGCTGGGTCCTGAGCTGCTGTGAGGGCAGAGGGTCCTGCCGCCGGCCCAGGGGCAGGGCCCACACGGGGCTTCTCTGGGGACCGAGCCTCTGCACGCTGTGTGACACCTGGTCACCAAAGAGCTGTTGAGGTGTTGTGGAGCCAGGAGGTGGCTGTGGTCAGGATGAGTCACCGGCTTTCCACGTGTTTCAGAAGCACTCTTCTAAGAAGCGTGTGGTCCCATCTGCGGCCCCAGCTGACAATCTCAGGTGCTCCCTGCCCCCCACCACACACACACAGCCTGACCACTGCTCCCTGCCCTGGGGATCTGACCTCCCCTGAGGCCAACGGGCACCGCCTCCGGCTTCCTGGGGCTTTTCTGCAAAGACGACCACGTGGGGATGGCAGAGTGAACCAGGCTTCCTGATGGCAGACAAGCCAGTTGCCAGTGTCGGGCGGGCTGGGATGACGTGGCCCGGTTGCTGCCACCCTTGTCCCTGCTCCCCTTGAACGCTCCTGCTCTGTGTCCCCAGCTCCCACAGAAAATCCCTCCCCCTGAGCACCTCCCCCGGATTACATTTGTCCCTTACGGTCAGCTTCCTGCGCCGGCCTGAGCAGCCTGAGGACAGAGCCTAGGGCTCCTCTCAGTGAATATCCAGGACCTAGTATAGAGGCCAGAGGAGGAGCTTTAGATAAAGATGTGGACTTGTTGAATAATTGAATAATTCTGTGTCTCTATAATTTCTATTCTACCCACTGGTTTTTGAAATTGTTCAAGACAGAATGTAATTAAATGCCGTAAGAGAGTCACACAGGGAATGGGGGAACGTCTTTTAGGAGCAGGGGGTAAGTGAAAGGAGTGATGGCCAGCTTGGAGGTCCTGCGGACTTGAAGAAGCTCCTTGGCCCCCTCCAGGGCACGCAGGACATCCTGGGGCAAAGGGCATTCCAGCCGTGAGGTCAGAGTCACATGCTGGGAGGCAAGCCCCGTGAGGGCAGCGACCTTCTCTGTCTCCTCCACTGCTCTGTGCTCTGTACCGTGCCTGGCATATGGGAAGTTCTCAATAAATGTTGCTGGAATTAACACATGAGAGCAGGGAAGCATGGGGGCCACCGTCTCAGAAGAGCGAATAGTTCAGTTTCTTGGAACAGAGGTTCCAAGCAGGGAAGGCAGAAAGTGGGGTGAGGAGTAGATTGCCTCCTGAATGACTGACCAAGGAGTTCAGGCATGACGGGGAGAAAAGCGTCATCCCTTCTGGAATAGTCACCAGTAAGAAAGGAGGGGTTGTCGGTGAAGAGATATAAGGGCTCCAGAAGTCAGCCCCCCTTTGCTGGGACTCTGGTAGCACCCCGTATTAGTCCTTGACTGGGCTAATGTCTCTGAAGGGGTGATGATGCCCTTCCAGCAGCTCCCAGAAGAGGAAGGCTGGATGGTGTAGGGACTGACGCCAGTGCTGGGCAGGGGTGGAGCAGTGTTTCTGGGGACACTCGCTTCTACCAAGACCACAGGCCCAGCGCACGCGTTCTTCCTGCAGCTCTCGGGCCCCTGGTCCAGCCCCATCCTTCCAGTCCTCGTGGCCTGGGTGCCCGCAGGTATATAGCATACACAGTTCGTTCATTTTAGCCAGACAGTGACACTCCTGTAACCCCCCAAGAGATCCTGAAATAGATCCCATACTTTGTGTGTGATGACGGATCCCGAGAGGCTCCTAACGTGTCAGAAGACATTTCTTTGTCCTCAGAGGCATTTCTCTGAACCTTTCTTCCTTGTTGCCAGCCAAACAAAAGCAGATGGCAGCCTTCTCTGAGGGGCTCATTATTCATTCATTCTTTCGTTCTTTCCTCTGAGTGCCTACGTGTAGGCACTGTTCTAGGCTCCAGGGATGCTGACCAAAAAAAAAAAAAAAAAGAAAGAAAAGAAAATCTCTGCCTACTGCAGTTTAAGTTTAGTGGGCAAATAAATGAGTAGAATATTTGGTGTGTCAGAAGGTGGTAAGTGCTAAGCAGTAGGGAGAATGGCAAGTGGGGCCGGGGGTGGGTGCAACTTGTCAACTTAAAGGGAGGCTCGGGGAGCTCGCAGAGAAAGTGACATGGCACTGTGGGGTGACCGGGGAGCCCCGGGCTTCTTGGAGTGGTAAGCGAGAAGCAGATTATTCTTGATGTTTTCATGGCAGACAATGGTGGCCAGGCTGTTACCACTGCTGTTTAAGTGTCCCCTGTGAGCTGGGGACAGCACGACCAGTCCAGCGTGGCACCCCTGTGAGTTGCTGGGTGTCTGGGCCGTGGGTCCACACAGTCACAGCCACACCCCGCAGCCTGGTCCCCGGGGTGCTCTCCTGTTAGCACTGCAAGGGGGAGTAAGCAGGGAAGAAAGTGCACACTCCCTGTGCCAGCAGTAGCTGGGTGAGACCGTGTCCAAGGCAGAGCTCGAGAATGCGCCAGAGTCGGCCTTACCGAGTGAACAAGGCACAGCATCAACGGGTGTGTTAGGACTGATGTTCGAGGACTCATTGCCGACAGAGTTTTAAGTTTGAAGACTGATTATCCTGAACTGGCAAACGAAGGCTTAGATGTACTAATCTGGGTCCCCCCCCCCCCCCGCCCGGTTTTATTGAGATACAACCAACCCACCGCACTAAGTGTAAGGTGTCTAAGCAACATGATGACAGATCCTACAACACGCTCATGTGCTCAGGCACTTTCTGCCTTGGCACAATGGAAGTCTGAATGTAAAAACACACTTTTTCCAGCAGAGAGAATCATTATAATTTAATTTACAGCACCGAATCAAGTAACATAAAAGAAATCACTTTTAACAAAAATACCAGAACTAAGACATAAAAGTGAATGTTTTCTTACAAAGTACTTAGCTTTTAACAAAAATACCAGAACTAAGACATAAAAATGAATGTTTTTCTTACAAAGTACTTTGCTTGGGAAACTGTGTACATTTCTAAAGTAGCCACTGGTCAAAGAAAGCTAGGACTAATCTTGCAGAGTTCCTCTTAGGTCCTGTGACACAAGTCTTAGGAGTATTTTCAATAAGGAGAAATCTTTGTCTTTTGTGAATAAATTTGCTCGTTGGAAGTAAATGCCGTTCTGAGCCATGCCTTGTGAACTGGATCAAGTCAAGATGGGTACAGCTATGTCTTGCTCAAGAAATAATGTGACTGAGAAACATCTGATATTAAAAACACATTTTTAAAAAATAGGTTTGCAGGTTTGAAGCCTCCTCATAGCTTGAGATTACATTAGAGCAACATAATATCATTCACAACCTTAACCTAAAGCAACGTTAAGTGAATGTAACTAAGGATATTGATGCGAATTTTTATTGGCTTTTTAGGGATTTTATATTTAATTTACAAATATGTTTTGGTTTTAGTAATTTAAGAGCTTTAGTAGATAAAGGTGTTTTTACTCTACGTGTTAGTATGTGTAATAAGCAATATAATAAAAATTATTAATAAATGTCCATTTTATTTATTTTGTTCCTTAGGAAGGAATTTAGTATTTGAAGATGAAATCGCTGCATTGCAGCCTGAAGTTGATAAGCTAAAAACTCTAAATGTGAACAAAATTATTGCACTGGGACACTCTGGTTTTGAAATGGATAAACTCATCGCTCAGAAAGTGAAGGGAGTGGACATCGTGGTGGGAGGACACTCCAACACATTTCTTTATACAGGTAATTGTTTCAAAAGGATTATACTGGCCAGGATGTCTAGATAACTTAGTCTCTTTGCCTTTGTAACTGTTACTATTTTTACTACTATTTAACACATAATATATATTACATATATTTTGTAATATGTAATATATATGTAATACACATATATAGTAACATGTAAATCGTATTCAGAGACATTAAGAATAATATATTGGTTTCATGATTATGTCAATTCCATTTATTTATGTATATTATAAATATATATAAAACATGTATAAAATACACTATAAAATAAAAAGATTACTGAGCCCCAGCCAAAAATCAGTTTATATCAAAAAGCAACATATCATATAAAAATTTTTAAGTATAGGAGCACCTGGGTGACTCAGTCCATTAAGCATCTGCCTAAGCATTCAGCTCAGGTCATGATCCCAGGGTCCTGGGATCGAGCCCTGCGTCAGGCTCTCTGCTCAGCGGGGAACCTGCTTCTCCCTCTCCCACTCCCCCTGCTTGTGCTCTCTCGCTTGCACTATCTTTCAAATAAATAAAATCTTTAAAAAAAATTTAAGTAGGGTGCCTGTGTGGCTCAGTCATTAAGCGTCTGCCTTTGGCTCAGGTCATGATCCCGGGGTCCTGGGATCTAGTCCCTCATTGGGCTCCCTGCTCTGCGGGAAGCCTGCTTCTCCCTCTGCCTGCCGCTCCCCCTGCTTGTGCTCTCTCTCTCTCTCTGATAAATAAATTAAATAAAATCTTTTAAAAAAAATAAAATAATTTTAAGTATAAACAAAATAATGCAAATAAGGCCTTCACAAGTCAGGGTGACAGATTTGATTTGCAGGTTCACAGGTAGCAGGGGCTGAACTCTGGGCTCAAGTCCTAATTCTTCTTCATACTAGGACCGTGCGTTGGAAGTCATAGACCCCGATGCTCCTGAAAGCATGTCCATTCCCCTCCCTCCCTCCCTCTCTTCCTCCCCTACCACTTTCCCTCCCACCCTCCCTCCCTCTTTCTCTCTCTCCTTGATGTTAGGTAGTTTTAGTTAGAAAACCTCTTTTTTTCCCTTCTATGTTGAACTTATAATGTCCCAAAACTTTTGAGTCTGGCTGGCTTGGTGAGTCTTTCCTACCATGCCCTCTGCCCCCATGTCCCCCCCTCCCCAACTACTGCATGGAGATTTGAAGGACTTTTAGGAAAAAGAAGAGGAGGAGGAAGGTTTCCTGGTAACTGACTGTTAATCAGCTAGTGGGAAGGAAGGCTTTGGCAGGGAACACCCCTGTCTTTGAAGAAGTTGCTGCTTCACCCACCTCCGTATGGGCTAAGGTGATCCTATTTTTATAAAAGCAAAAAAAAAAAATACCCAAAATTGTTAAAAGGGGGCACCCTGGTTGCTCAGTTGAGTGTCTGCCTTTGGCTCAGGTCATGATCCCGGGGTCCTGGGATCGAGTCCCTCCCGGGGCTCACTGCTCAGTGGGGAGCCTGCTTCTCCCACTGCCCCTCCTCCCACTCATGTGTGCTCTCTCTCTCCCCCCGCCAAATACATAAAATTTTTAACAAATGTTAAAAGGGGTTATCACAAAGAATACAGGTAATTTTCACTTTCTTCTTAGCACTTTTGAGTATTTTCAAATGAACGCATGTTGCTTTTATAATCAGAAAGAGAGACACAAATTATAAAAAGAAAAGAAAGAAACAATATTGCGTCCAAAGTCTTCCTTCCTGATTCACGTCAGAGACCATGAGCAGGTCACTCACCCTCTCTGAACCTGTTAGCTTTGCTTCAAAATTGGGGTGATAAGGCTCCAAGTGCCCCATTGTTGTGAGAATGACGGGAGGTGGTATATGTATACGTGGGAGAACACTTCAGAAACTGTAGAGAGCTGTGTCCTGGCGGGCAGCCGTGTGGAGGCTGTCCACCCGTCCGGACAGACCAGTCCGACTGCGGACGCTGGTGAACTCCATCACAAGGTGGGCTTGACCTTCCCTTAAGAAAACCGTGTTCACGGGGTGCCTGGGTGGCTCAGTCGGTTAAGCGTCTGCCTTCGGCTCAGGTCATGGTCCCAGGGTCCTGGGATCGAGCCCCGCATCGGGCTCCCTGCTCGGCGGGAAACCTGCTTCTCCCTCTCCCACTCCCCCTGCTTGTGTTCCCTCTCTCGCTGTGTCTCTCTCTGTCAAATAAATAAAATCTTAAAAAAAAAAAAAAAAAGAAAGAAAACTGTGTTCACATATTTGACTCCTTCCTCACGCAGTTCCCTCGTAAGTGTTTTACCTCTTGGTAGACACAGGCTAGAGAATCATTTCACACTGGGTGATATGCATTAGTGGTTGTGAAATCAGTGTAGTGGGTTAAAAACTTTTAATGGACTAGACTACGGTAGGTGAGGCACTTAGTCACTCACAGGAGTATTTGTCTCGTGGAAAAAGCTGTCTGTGAGCGATGAGGACAGCGCCACGCCGGGCAGGCGGTAGGTCCGTGTGTCAGGACAGTGGCAGGCGCAGACAGTGAGGGGACTTGCTTAGCCTGAGCAGTGTCACAGTCGGACGTCCGAGGGCCACTTAGGTAACTCCAGGGCCACTAGAGGGGCGAGAGCGCTGGAGCGGGGAGAGCCCCACGGGGCACGTCACGGGGCGGCGTGGGGCGAGCTGAGACTCGGCCGTCGGGCTGGCTGGGCCACTGCTGCGGGCTCCTGTCTCCGCCCGATTTCCTCAGCTGCAGAATGAGGATGGAAACAACCCGATGAGAAAGGTCACGATGACGTCACCTCTGGAATGGACGGCGGGAGGTGAGGCGCCGCAGGACGGGGCCCCGTACCTGAGCTGTCCTTACTCCAGTCTGTCCCAGCTCAGTGGATGAGACCCGTGAACAAGCCTTCCCTGGAGCCTCTGCTTAGCTTCTGTCTGGGGCGGTGTCAGAAACCGGGGCACACGGTGCGAGCTAGATGTGTGCCTCCGACCCCTCCGTCTTGGGGAGCGTGGCTCACGCCATACTCACTTCGATCCCGAGTGAGAAGGGCATTGTAGTTGAAGAGCTGGCACACACCCACAAACACACACAGTCTCACACACAGTCTCACACACACACACACACACACACAGTCACACGCATACCACACACACAGTCACACACACACACAGTCACACAGTCACACACAGTCACACACATACCACAAACACAGTCACACACAGTCTCACACACACACAGTCACACAGTCACAGTCACACGCATACCACACACACAGTCACACCCACAAACACACACAGTCACACACAGTCACACACACACACAGTCAGTCACAGTCACACGCATACCACACACAGTCACACCCACAAACACACACAGTCACAGTCTCACACACACACACAGTCACACAGCCACACACACACAGTCACACACTCACACGCATACCACACACAGTCACACCCACAAACACACACAGTCACAGTCTCACACACACACACAGTCACACAGCCACACACACACAGTCACACACTCACACGCATACCACACACACAGTCACACAAACACACAGTCACACACAGTCTCACACACACACACAGTCACACACAGTCACACCCACAAACACAGTCACAAACACAGAGTCACACACACAGAGTCACACACACACACACACACACTGAACTTTCACAAAGAACCTGGAGTGCACCCTGGTTCTGTACTGTTTCATTTTTTTTAAAGTGTCAGTTACTACCCATTAAATTAATTTCCTCATATTGTAGCTGGCCCACGTTTTGAAAAACTCAGCTCTGAATGAAGCAGGACCAAAACGGCACATAAACAATCAAAGGAATCCACCCCCTCCATTCAGATGCTAGAGCCATTCCCCTGTTCTTCAGGATGTGCCTTTACACCATCTTAGCAACTGCCTCTTCCGGCACCCATCGGCCGTGCACGGCCTTGCCGGGTGACCAACAATTACTGTGCCCTGCTGGGCCTGAAAAGGTTCGGGGACCATGCCCGGCTTCCCATTAATGCTGCAGCCTGACCTTTTGTCCCTGTCCCTTTGTTCCAGCCAGTGAGGTCCTGCAAAACACTATGTGCGTCTTGCCAAGTAAGTGAGCTTCGTTAATGATGAATGACTGGATGAAAGAAAGATTTGGGGATAAAAATTAGGATTTGTTTATACATAAATCTTGAAGTAGATCATTACAGTTTCTGAAAAAACTGCCTCTAAAGTTTTAGTCACTTATTTCACATTTCATGGTTGCTTAGCAAGACTATTGTTCCCACGAACTGGTTCTCATGAAAATATTCAATTCTGATACTCATCATTTTGAGGGATGCAGTTAACAATTAAAGGTAATTCCAAGACAAGGGAGGAAATGAAGCATATTTGCTTGTTTAAATAAATTTTCACAACCTTAAATTCCTCTGAATTGTTTTTGGAATTAGCATAACCTAACTTGAGGTTAAATATGATTTGTAAATAAAAGTGTAGTTAAAATAATACATCCCAGGCACCTGGGTAGCTCAGTCATTAAGCGTCTGCCTTCGGCTCAGGTCATGATCCCGGCATCCTGGGATCGAGCCCCACGTCGGGCTCCCTGCTCGGCGGGAAGCCTGCTTCTCCTTCTGCCTGCCGCTCCCCCTGCTTGTGCTCTCTTTCTCTCTCAAAAATAAATAAAATCTTTAAAAAATAATAATAATACATCCTCTGGAATTTTATGTCTTGCCATGCACAGAACCCAACACACACACACACACACACATACCTGAAAGAAAATTTCACAAAGCGCCCAGATTGCACCTGATATTTTCTGTTCCGTTATTTAATTTGTTTAATGCTGGTTTTCACCTATTAAATTAACTTCATTGTACTGTTACTAGCCCATATTTTTTTAAAAACTCAGCTTTCAATGAGGCATGACTGAAACAGTGCATGAACTGCTCCCCCAGCCTGCCCGCCTCCCTCCCCGACAAATGTTGAACGTTATTCCAGGTTCTTCTGAGTACAGCCATTGTGTACGTGCAGATAACCTAGTATTGCCTGACCATGCTCACGTTGGAATGAAGGGGGGGAAGAGGTCCACCCGACTATGCTTACAGAATCTTAAAGTTGCAAGGGGTGAGGACTAGTCCCCACATGTTTTCTCAATAGGAATGAAATCCTAGAGTCACGAACTGGCCTGTGTTGTTGCCTTTGGAGAAGAACGTATGTAGTAAAGGGAGAGCAGGTTGAAAGCTGAAGCAGGTGGGCCGGGGGACTCTATGCCCCGTGCGGCCCTCGAAGGCACACTCAGTGTGCTGTTTGCCTCCCACTGTGTGAACTGAATTTTGGATCGTGCTGGTCATTCTGGCTACCTGTGGCCTTGGGTGAATGGAGACATCAGTTTCTGTATCTGCAGAATAGCAGGGTTAGAACTGCCAAGTCTACGACCCCCTGCATTCTAACATAGACTGACTGTTCCCCAGAAAGTCATCCATGCAAAGAGCCTGATTGCTTACTTTCCAGACTTTGGGGAAATAAAACTTTTTTTCGTAGAACAGCTTATGACTTCCTTCGGTTACTGCCGTGAACTTCATTATACCTCTAACTTCTTTGAGGCTCCTACCTCCAGGCTCTACACCCTGGCCCCTCCTTCTTGCTGTCATCGAATGGTCTCTAAGCCACTCCTCAGCATCGCCCAGCCTGTGGTCTTCCTCTCAGCCCCAGCTCCTGCCTTCATCCCGGTGGAGGGTTCCATGTGGATGGCTGACCCCATACCCAAGGTTCAGAGTCCCTTGATCCTCTAAACATGCGACTGTCACCTCCACGCCATTTCAGCAACTTTACAGGAGGCTGAAACTGGGTCATCATCTGGGATGGCTCCATCCCCAGGGCCCCACTATCCACCTCCCTCGTCCTAGCCTCCTGGCCTTAACTTAGAGCCTCTCACCCCTTATTCCTTGGAGAGCTGGCCATCAGCCTTACCGAAACCTCAGTCTCCTGGGCTCCTCTCTCCATCCCAGGCCAGCAGGCTTCATGTCTCTGTCCTTGTTAGCTTGGACGTGTCTATTAGGGACACCTGCCGTGGCTGTGACTAACACCTGGAAGGCGGGTGCCCGGGACTGTTGAGTGAATATTAACAGACGCAGCACCTTTCAAAGTAAGATTTCTTTACTTGACCAGTTTTCACTAAACACCTTATTTTCATTGCTTCTAGACGTAGGCACACATTTATGGAATATGAAATTCAAACCACTTCGTCTATTAGAGAATGTAAATGATTTTAAGGGCCACAGGATTTCATTCTCAAAACAAATGGGGTTTACCATGTAATTATAAATGTGACAGAGCAAAAAAAGCTAATGCTTGTTCTTCATGCTGCAGCCAGTGGCCAGACGCAGTGTGAAGGAATGCACCTGCCCTGCGTCACTGGAGTAAGTGAGGGAGGCTGAAAGCCTTTGTGGTTGCTTGCAATCATTGTTCATCTCCATTAATTTTCATTCTTGAAGTTCAGATAATCCTGCCTTTTCAAACAAGAAAATGGTCTTGTTACTTACCACATCCACAGGACAGGGAAACCCTATCCAACAAAGAACCATTTCCTTTGGGCCTCAGTGAGGACGGCTGACGTGTGTGGTTTATTAAGTGAGTTGGGAGAACCAACCAGAGGGCAGAGGTGTAGGCAGTCGCTTCAAAGATCACGTCCTTGGTGGCACAGGGACTTAACTTGTTCCAGTGGTCACTCACTCAGGACTGTTTCAGTCAACTTCTAGCCATACCCCCCAGCCTCAGCACCAGCCCCCTTCAGGGAACAGAGCCAGAGCCTTCTGGTTAATGTTAGCAGCCACGTAACACTTCTCTGTCTTAACTACGTCTCATGAGACTGCTTTCCCTGATGAAGTCGGACTGCGGGGCGCCTGGATGGCTCAGTCATTGGACGTCTGCCTTTGGCTCGGGTCATGATTCCAGCGTTCTGAGATCGAGCCCCACGTCAGGCTCTCTGCTAGGTGAGAGGTCTGCTTCTCCCTCTCCCACTCCTCCTGCTTGTGTTCCCTCTCTCGCTGTGTCTCTCTCTCTCTCTAAAATAAATAAAATCTTCAAAAAAAGATGAAGTGGGACTGTCCAAACCCCAAAATATAAAAAGAAAGAGCATAAAACATGGTCAAGGTCATTTGGCAGGGTTGAGTTATAAGGAAAGCTAATGGCCAACAATTGTGAAATCATAAACCCTTTCCACCACAAAGTACAAGTCTCCTCCTGGGATTACAATTCAGATCGCCTTAACTTTGCCTCTTCATGGTCGTCTGAGAAGATCTCCTTTTTCCCACCCTGACTGGGAAGCAGCATGGGGTGTGGAAAGGTCTTTGGACTTCAACAGACCCCTTCATAAAAATTACACCAACTGTAATCACCTGAGAGTCACAAATCTCAAGCTAACTTAGGAAGTCACTCCTCCCTTTAATAAATAAAAAGGCTCTTTATCATACAAAACCTGGAAAATATTGGGGCTTTTCTTACCCTCCCATCTGATAATTCCTTGGGAATCTTGTATTTGTCCTCATCCCCTTAATCCTAATTTTTACTTCTGCTGAATTTCAGTCACCCCTGGGCTTTCCTCTCCCAAACCATCCTTTTCTATCCATGCAGTGTCGTGCCAAATATGGGAAATTTCCTTTTCTTCATCTCCCCAAACTCCACCCACACAAGGCACTTTCCCTTCAAGCCTGCCAGTCGCCACAAGGGAGTGGGCCGCACAGCACAGCACAACCCACTACCTGCACTGAACCCTCTTCAGGGCCGCCCGCCGTTGCCTCCAGAGGGCATGGCTTGCTGGTTGATTTCTTTCTTAGCCCTCCCCACCTCCCAGTCTCCACCCATCTCCCATGCTGGTGTTCTCCTTTTCATTACTCCAGTCTCCAACCCCTTTATCCCCAGCTACCCTGAAACTCAGAATTCTCCCACCATTTTTAAGCAAATAATTAAGCGCTCTCTGTTTGCACTCCCACCCCCATCCATGTCTGTGTCCAGGAGCCGGTTGTCCCAGACAGAGGAGAGGAGAAGATGAACGGGGAGACTGACGTACCCACACGAGGGTGTGCCTGTTCTCCTAGTCATCCTGTTGGAAACTTGATCTGTCACAAGTGTTTTACTAAACAGAAAATTCTTTCTCCCTAAAATGGATTCTGCCACCCATTCCCCCCTCATTGCTATCCATCCATATATATATATATTTTTTTTTTAATTCACACAAACTATATTGGTTATTACCATAGGGTGATGGGAGTATGAGTAATTTTTTCTTCTCCATTGGCCAAATATTCTGTCATGCTAGTTTTACTCTTATTAAAAAAAGTTTTTGAAACCTCTCTAAACTCTATAACCTTAACTATTCTTTTTTTTTTAATTTTAAACTTTTTTTTATTCTTATGTTAATCCCCATACATTACATCATTAGTTTTTGATGTAATGTTCCATGATTCATTGTTTGTGCATAACACCCAGTGCTCCATGCAGAACGTGCCCTCCTCAATACCCACCACCAGGCTAACCCATCCTCCCACCCCCCTCCCCTCTAGAACCCTCAGTTTGTTTTTCAGAGTCCATCGTCTCTCATGGTTCGTCTACCCCTCCGATTTCCCCTGCTTCATTCTTCCCCTCCCGCTACCTTCTTCTTCTTCTTTTTTTTTAACATTTATTGCATTATTTGTTTCAGAGGTACAGATCTGAGATTCAACAGTCTTGCACAATTCACAGCGCTTACCAGAGCACATACCCTCCCCAGTGTTTATCACCCAGTCACCCCATCCTTCCCACCCCACCCTCCACTCCAGCAACCCTCAGTTTGTTTCCTGCAATTAAGAATTCCTCGTATCAGTGAGATCATATGATACATGTCTTTCTCTGTTTGACTTATTTCACTCAACATAATACCCTCCAGTTCCATCCACGTCTTTGCAAATGGCAAGATCTCATTCCTTTTGATGGCTGCATAATATTCCATTGTGTATATATACCACATCTTCTTTATCCAGTCATCTGTCAATGGACATCTTGGCTCTTTCCACAGTTTGGCTATTGTGGACATTGCTGCTATAAACATCGGGGTGCACGTACCCCTTCGGATCCCTACTTTTGTATCTTTGGGGTAAATACCCAGTAGTGCAATTGCTGGGTTGTATGGTAGCTCTATTTTCAACTTTTTGAGGAACCTCCATACTGTTTTCCAGAGTGGCTGCACCAGCTTGCATTCCCACCAACAGTGTAGGAGGGTTCCCCTTTCTCCGCATCCCCGCCAACATCTGTCGTTTCCTGACTTGTTAATTTTAGCCATTCTGACTGGTGTGAGGTGGTATCTCATTGACGTTTTGATTTGGATTTCCCTGATGCCAAGCGATGTTGAGCAGTTTTCATGCATCTGTTGGCCATTTTAACCTTAACTATTCTTAACTTTGTTAAAAGAAACTCTTCCACAGACAGTTTACTGACCTAGTAGGCCTTTATTCAGTGATTCATGAATTGGGCAGGATCCATCTAGCAGATAGAAAGGAGCTCCAAAGAGCTGTATGAGGCCAGAGAGACTTCTAGACCAGAGTAAGCAGGAACAAGGAAGTTACACGGGGCATTTGCTGATTGGCGAAAGCAGTGTTACTTTCCTTCCAGGGAACAAAGGGAAGTTTGGGAGCAGGCTGGGTGACTTGTGCTGAGCTGGCAAACACTGGCTCGTTGACCTCGACCTGCCCTTTCTGGGACAGCTGGGCACACTTAAGTGTCGGTTTGCTGACGTGGGGCTCAATACGAGCGACTCCATCTTGGCCTAAACGTGTTACTTTAACAACTCGAGCTGTCATAAATACTTCTGTTAAATAATTTTTAAAAAGGAGTTATGTACTCAGTTCGAGAATCTGAGCTACATACACAAATGACCAAATGTATCTTCTTACCTTTAAAAAATAAGAAACCAGGGATGTGGTGCTTTATCCCAAGCAGGCTGGCTGTGTCTTACTCAGTTCTCTTATCCTCAGTCTATACGTTTCGCCCAGACCTAGAAACACCTGCAGTTTTGAATGCGTGACTGCTAATCCAGAAGAGAATTTCCAAATACTCTGTCATGATTTGGAAGCAGGCCTTTGGTCATGCCAGATGATCTCCAGGTTCGCAGAGATAAACTCGTTTAACTTGTGTCCTCCATGCTTGATTGCTCACCAGTGTGACTGAGATGAATGATTTGTGAGAATCAGCTGTTAAGAGCCCTCACTAACCACAAAGACACAGCATTTCACATTGTATATAACCGCTCTGGGAATGCCTTCTCCAGCTAAATGCTGACTTTCCCAAAAAAATATATCCAGTATACATCAATTTATGGTCATATGTACCTCCTTTTTAATCTCAAGAAATGAAGTTATTACTCCTGAAAAGAGCACTGTGAGTAAATGGAACTACAAGAAGGTCACATTAAGATGAAAACCAGTCTCTCTCTCCCCATCCCATTCCTTTGGACTCGGCATTTTAACAGGCTATAGTGATAGAACAGTGTTATGATTTTTTTTTAATTTGTCATATGAAACCCTGCTCTATAATGTAAAAAGCAAACGGGAAGTCTGGTGCCTGGGAAGCTACTGGGCCCTAGGGATGGCTAGATCCTATGGTGAAGAGAAGAAGACAAGAAGTGGACAGCTGGGGCATCTCTCCTTCCCCAGCTCTGTCTCCATAAGGCAGCCTCTGCTGACCTCAGGAAGAGAAAGCACAAACCTTGGGCCTGGCCCTGTGGAGCAGGGGAGATCCAGAGCACCGGGCACCTGTCGGAGCTTGGTAAATGTTTGTTGAATGAGTGAGTGAATGTGTGGTGATCCCTTGCTCACCCTACAGGACTCCCTTATTTGTTCCAACCCCTCAGGACTGGGTAAAGCCAACGGCCTGGATTTTATGAGGGTTTTGTGCCCAGCCTGTGTCCTTCTCCAAGACCCATCATCTGCTTCAGACCTCCCAGTACTCACGGCACGTCCAAGAGCAAGAATTTGAGCAGTCAATCGAAGCATGTGCGAAACAGAGGGCCAGAGTCCAGATACGGAGAATGTCAGGTGGCCCGTCAAGCTCCCTCAGGAAACAGGACAGCTTGCGTGTCATGGTGGGGTGCGGAGATGGCTGAGGACACTGCGACTCACCCCTCTGGTTGTCGAAGACCTCTTGGCCGGGAAGACGGGAGGCAGGACACAGAGCCTCAGCTGACTGGCGGGGTGCCGAGGGCCCGTCGGCCACTGGTGTCTGCCCTGTGACCTGAAGAGCAGTCGTGGCAGGGAGCCCGGAGCCGGACTCTGGCCCCAGGGCCACCGAAGCCTGCACGACCTGAGTGGTCTGCTTTACGGCTCACATTGCCACAAGATTTCCTGCAGGTGGAAGATCTCGTTGCTTAATTAAAAAAAAAAGTTAAACAACTTTTGGGCTAAACCACTAGTCAGATCTCTTGTTTTATAAGTTTAGGAAATAAATGTAGGCCCCAGGAGCTAAATGTCTCTCTCAAGGTCGTGAAGCCACATTGAAACTTGAGCTAGCCTCAAAACCCATTCTCTTGACTCCCAGCCCCGGTTCTGCTTTACAAGCCCCCACTCAGCTTATTAGTTAAGAAAACTGAATTGGGAGGGAATTGGGGGGTGGGGAGGGCACACAGACATTGCTCCCTTTACATAGGGATTTCACTTCAGGGAGAGCGCAGAAGTCTTGTCTGGTCCCTGGGAAAGCACTGGCTAAACTACTCAAGCTTAGTCATTCAACAAACATTTATTGAGTGCCTTCTATGTGCTGGGCAAACCCTGGAGACACAGCAGCCTCTCATCTCCTGGAACTTGTCTTAAAAGGGATATTGACCCTGATCAGATTTTTTTCAGCATGCAAATAAATCAATCCTATTATATATAATTACAAACCATGCTGTGAATGGAGAGGTACCACATGCTGTGAGAGCATATATAGGAAGACCTGACCAAGACTGGGGGATCAGCACACAGCCTTCTCCTGAAAGGCTGACATTTGGGCTAAGGTCAGAAAGACATCCAGGAGCTGACTTGTCAACAATGATCACTCATCTTTATTGGGCATTTACCTGAGTCCGGCTCCCCTAGCTGCGTTAACTTCTGCAATCCTCCCCGCAAGCCTATAGGCCAGTATTTTCTCCATTTTAGAGATGACTGAGCTGAAGCTGAATGACTTAACAAGCGCGCATATTGACCTTTGGTTCCAGGTCGCACCCCATACTCGAAGGCTTCCATGGGTGTGGCCTGGGAAGGGGAGAAGCTAGGTTCGCTGACTTGCAGGGCAGATGATCTAGATGAAGCTGGCAAGGCAAGAAAGGGCCATGTCATGTAGGTTATGATCCTCATGTCAAAAACTGTCACGTTTCTCCTAAGACAGTAGGAGATCTTTTAAATCAGGGAGTACATGATTATATTTATGTTTTAGAAAGGCCACTCAGGCCCGCTGTGTGGACACTGGATTAGAAAGAGGCAACAAGAGGCATACAGGGCAGTTAGGAGGCCGTTGCAGTAACTCAGGCACGAGATAATACTGACCAGGAGTGTGGCTGGCCTGAGGAGATGGAGAGAAGTAGACAGATCAAGTACTTCCAAGGAAGTTAAAAAAGACACCCAAGTCCCTTAGAAGCAATCATGTGAAATATACAAATTACTAATTATTTGTATCCAGTCCTTTCATAGGAAGTATGGAAGTTTTTTTTTTTGAGGATACTTGACACACAATGTTACATTAGTTTCAGGTGTACAACAATGTGATTCAGCATCTACATTATGCTGGGCTCACCACGGCTGTAGCCACTATCCGCCACCATACAGCGCTGTTACAGTATCATTGACTGTATTCCTTACACTGTGCCTTTCATTTCTGTGACTTACTCATCCCATAACTGGAAGCCTGTATCTCCCTTCACCCATTTTGCCCAACCCCCCCCAGTCCCCTCCCCTCTAGCAACCACCAGTTTGTTCTCCGTATTTATAGGTCTGGTTCTGCTTTTTGTTTCATTCGTTTTGTGTTTTAGATTCCACATAAGACTGAAATCATGTGGTATTTGTCTTTCTCAGTCTTATTTCACTTAGCACAATACCCTCCAGGTCCATCCATGTTGTCAGAAATGGCAAGATCTCATCCTTTCTTAGGGCTGACTCATATTTCATTGCGTAGAGGTAGCACATGGGAAGTATGGAAGTTCTTAAACCGGTTGCCACAGACGTTAAAATTGTAGCGAAGACTGCCTTGAAACATTCTGTAATTCATCAGCCAACTGAAAACCATGTCAAAGACCTACTCCCTGGCATCTCTGCCACCACGTGATCCACTGTGTTGGCCCCTTCTGGCTACTGGCCAGGCAGTTGTCCAGGCCTGTACTTGGAACTATCACATTCCTGAGGAGCTGCTGTGGCCAAGGCTCCCAGGGCAGAGCCCTGATGGTTCTATCAGGCATTTGCACTGTGCTGGGAAGTGACCCGTTTACCAAGTCTAAATGTCAGCCCGCAATCCCACAGTTTCTCCACGTTTGGTTCCCAGATTATTTATTTGCTTAGATGGCTGAAATAGAGTTCTGGTGACTTTCCTTCCTGCCAAGATGAAAAGTTGGGTTTCTAAAGACAGATGTGTGGCTCTGTGTGGAAATGTTTTGGGCATGAGCATCTTTGGCTGAATTGGATGGTACGGAAAATGTGAAGCCTTGGATTGCTTTCTCTGCCAGTGGTTTTCTGAGCTTGCCAAGTTGGGGGGACCAGAGAGCACTCAGCTGTGGAGAAAGCAGAGATGAGCCAAAATGGACCAGCTACTGCCTCAGCCACTGGGAAGCATCCTCCTTGTTCCTGATTAAGTCCCCTCAAGAAGCAGATGACATGTCTTACGTTCTAACAAAAGGAACATCAAGGCCTTTCGGAACGGAGAATGTCCCCTGTCAGACGGGAGCTGGGGTTAGTAGCTCCTATTTGTAGAATGCGAGCTGATGTGATGAGGCACTTGACCCGATCGTTGAAATTCCTGTTACATTCGTTTTAAGTTTGGTTATGTCTGTATGAGGTAGAATAGCAAAGGCTAAAAAAAGGCCAGGCTTGCCCTTCTCTAAGGTTTCCAGGAAACTGCCAGTCCTTTCTGAAACTGATTTAGTGCCTTTTCCTCCCGGATGGGGTGTTCTCCGCCACCTTGTGGACATATTGGGAACTGCGCCTCCCAATTGGCACCTGCATCTCTGGGCTCAGAGGAGGAACCACTGTCCCTAACCTGCCCCAGGTGAGAAGGTGAGAGGGGGCTGCCACACCCCCTGGTCCAGGCTCCAGGTTTGCCCCAATAAGAACCGGCACAGAATAGAATGAGGATGATGACAGTGTTAACCTTCCCTGCTCCCCTGCCGTGCATGAGATCATCCACAGCTGCTAGAGCCAGGGTCTGCCAGTCACCCAGGAGGTTGGACACTACACGTGGGGATGGGACAGGCCCCGCACTGGGTCTTAAGTCAGGTGCCTTCGTAGAAGTAGAGTTCCACAACTTTTGTCTTTTTTCTTTCTTTCTTTCTTTTTTCCAGAGGGAGTGAGAAAATGAGAAATTAAGGTTGGCAACAGCTGTTTCCTACTTGGGAGGCACTGGTATTTGTTGCACTTCTGCTCTCTGGTTCTGGAGCTGGAATGGGGACTGCTCCTGGCATCAGAGCAGGGAAGGAACAGGTTTTTCACCATACCCACCCCAGCTCGTCTTAGGTGAAAGGAGAAACCCAGAAGCAGCTTGGGGTACAAAGGTGCAGCCTCTGGGCTTGCGTTGGATTTAGGAAGTGGCCCTGGGCAGCCAGCTCTCGGGGACATTACGAGACTAGCAGTTGTAGGCTGTGTTGGGTAGTGGAGAGAACATAAGCTCCCATGCCTCACAGGCCTGCTTTTCTGTCCGCTCTCCTTCACCTACCAGACATACTGCACATAACACACATACCAGTGTGACCTTGGGCACGTTGCCTATGACAATCAGTGTTCTCAGCTGTAAAGTGGGGACAGTAATAGAACCTGCCTCATGGGATGTTTAGAAGATGAAATGAGATCTAGGGGCCAACTCTCATAACTGGTCCATGTGAGTAGCCCAACATGTGCTGAAGATTCCTGGGCCCTCTGTAAACATCTAATAGGAAGGACTGGTCCAGGGTGTGGTGGGTGGGGGGCTGATAGAAACAGTAGTGGGTTCAAAGGTATCTGTTCTATAGTCTGATTCAGAACAGCCAAACCAGGTTCTTGTCTCTGTGGTAAGGTGTGCCTGGAGGAGGGTCGCAGGTACAGATCTGAAACATGCCAGTGACGAGGGGCCAGGGCCCATGCTCCACGCAGCCGGGCTCCCCACCCGCGTGCAAGTGCACATCCAGGAGGCAGTGGTGGGGTGAGCCCTTCAGCCTCTGGGCGCGGAGTTAGCTCCCAGGCCGTCCCCCGGGGACCCTCTGACACAGAAGGCAGCAGAACCTGGCCGATGTGAGGTCTGGCTGGGTGAGTAGTGTGCATGCTAGTTGCCTACCAGTCAACGCGGCTCTTCCGAAAGGCACTTAAAGGAACGCAGATTTTAGCAGCAAAAGCGAGGACAGGCTTTGTCACTTCTGCCCATCTTCCATTAAGGATTCCAGCTCTAGATCGTGTGTCTAGGGTTCCTAGAGCTTGCCATCCCCTCATAAGGGAAAGAAATACGCATTTATTTCCTACTCTGTGCTGGGCACTGTGCTAGGAAGTTTAGACATTTAATCCTCTCAAGGGCCCTGTGAAATCAGAATTGTTATTTCACCCATTTTACAGGTGAGGAAACTGAAATGCAGGGAAGTGAAGTGGCTTGGGTAGTCTACCCAGCTCCTGGGAATGGAGCCCGGATCAGGATGGAGGTAGGATAGTCTGAGCAGTACTGCCTCTTTGTGTCCCCCGCTGCTCCAGGCACCGGACCATGGACTTGGGAAGAGCTTCCTGCTGAGTTGAGAGTGGAAGGATTCATGTGACACAGGGCCTTTGGAAACAGGGAGAGATGCGCAAGCATGGCTCTAAAAGACCAGCTGTGGAGGGCAGCAGCTAGCTCAGCCATTCAGAAGGCCTTGTGCTCTGCAGTCGGCTGTGTGCGAGGGCGGATGTGATCAGCTTTGGCTCTTCTATTTTAGGCGCTCCGCCTTCCAGAGAGGTGCCGGCTGGGAAGTATCCATTCATAGTCACGTCCGATGATGGGCGGAAAGTTCCTGTGGTCCAGGCCTATGCTTTCGGCAAATACCTAGGCTGTTTGAAGGTTGAGTTTGATGAGAAAGGAAACGTCATCGCTTCACATGGAAACCCCCTTCTTCTCAACAGCAGCATTCTCGAAGGTACGTGAAACTCAAGAGAGGGTTCCACCAATCGAAAATTAGATGGCTGGACTTGCTGGGTTGTTAATGTTTCAGGACAAGACTGTAAAACCTTTGAAGAATTCAGTTCTCCCTTAAGTTTGCCCTCTTCATGGACAAGAGGATTGAAAACACACCCAGATGCCCCAAATCCCGTTTGCTTCCCCAAGTCCTCTCAGCATCAGACACGGTGTCACTGCTTTGTGTGCCTTTTCAAGCTGCAGCCAGGCATGGGTCAGCCCAGCTCGTGTCCAGAGGGGAGCTGCTCACTGAAGCAAAGCGGGTCAAACTGGGTGGAGCAGGTCTCCAGCCCCAGCCCCACCACCAGGAGCAGCATGCCTGTGGCAAGTTCCTTTCTTTATCAGATGAGGGAGTGTCTTTCTTTCTTCTTTGTCTGGGACTCAGAGTAAAGTACATATTACGTCATCCATTTGCACGTAGGCTACATGACCACACTCCTCTGCTCCTCTCACCTGCCTTTTATTGCTTTCCTTGATCAGATCAGGGAAGGATGGGCAGTGGGGTGCCTTGCAGAGCTGGTGGTCACAACGCAGACCTCTCAGTAGCCAGAGGGAGAGGCCGGGACCACACAGACAGCAGAACCTCAGCAGGCCCTTTATACCTGCACTGGATGAATTTCATCACCACCCCCCCACCACCACCACCAGTAATGCTAGCCCAGATGGGCCCACAGGTGCTCATTCAGCTGTGATGAGTTGTTGTTAGGATATTCAGTGCATCTGGAGCACCTGGCTAGCTCATTTGGCTGAGCATCTGACTCTTGGTTTCGGCTCAGGTCATGATCCCACAGTCCTGAGGTTGAGCCCCGAGCCCCACACTGAGCGCCGAGTGGGGCTCTGTGCTCAGCGGGGAGTCTGCTTGAGATTCTCTCCCTCCTACCCTTCCCCCCACCACTCGTGCGTGCATGTACTTGCTCTCTCTCTCTCTCTCCCTCCCTAAAATCAATCAATCAATCTTTCTTTAAAAAAAAAAAAAAGGATACTCAGTGCATCTTTAAATTAAGATCCATTCCTGGTCTTATTATCAAGAAACAGAATTTTCTGAGGAAATTTCACAAACTAAAATGTAGAAAAATTATGATAAAGAAATGTATAGTCATAACAGGTAAGCTAAATGATCTTTGATTCCTTCTCCAAAATGTAGGCCAGTGTGAGGCCTGCCTTAACTGTAGGCTGATTTTTTTTCTTTGCATGCTTCTAGATCCAAGCATAAAAGCAGACATTAACAAATGGAGGATAAAATTAGATAATTATTCTACTCAAGAATTGGGGAAAACAATTGTCTATCTGGATGGCTCCACTCAATCATGCCGCTTTAAGGAATGCAACATGGGCAACCTGATTTGTGATGCTATGGTGAGTGGTTCCCTGGAGTGTGGGCCCTGTGCCTAGGGAGGGAGGAGGGAGCAGGGAAGGATGCAAGGAGGGACAACCTGATAATTACAGAATTGAGGATTTTTTAAAAATTAGTGCCCAAAGCGACTGCCTTCGGCTCAGGTCATGATCCTGGAGTCCCGGGATCGAGTCCCGCGTCGGGCTCCCTGCTCGGCGGGGGGTCTGCTTCTCCCTCTGACCCTCCTCCCTCTCGTGCTCTCTGTCTCTCATTCTCTCTCTCTCAAATAAATAAATAAAATCTTTAAAAAAAAAAAAAAAAAAAGAAAAAAAAAAAAAAAGAAAAATTAGTGCCCAAACTAAAGCTTGGGGTGGATTCATACTGAGTACCTTGGGAAGGTGCCTGATCTTGACCAGCTGACCATCATTTTATTGCTTTACTAGTACTAAAGCCTTTATTGGAAGTTGTTCATTTTGGATGTTGCTTTCCTTTTGTAAGATGGTCTCAATACACAAAACTTCGCTACTCTGAAGATGCAGACACAGTAGATAAAACACATCTGCTTGGGCCTAACTTGGCCAGTGTGTCTCCCTGATGTGTCCTCTTGGCTCCAGAGAACCAGGCCTTGTGTGACTGGGAGCCTCCTTCAGAAGCAGAGAATGACAACATGCAATTATATAATAAGTCCTGTGCCTGAACATATCACCCACGAAAACACCCCTCTAACTCGCTGCAGGCAGACTGGCTGTGGCAGCCCCTCGGGGGCTATGCTGAGCCAGGGTCCCCAGGTCAGACTCAGCACTCCCACCGAAGCCTGCACGCAGGGGGCTGACTCTTTGTTGGGCCTGGCATGGTGCCTGGCATATACACACTCAGTAACTGACTGCCAAGGAAATAACAGTGTTCACACTTTGCAAGGTGAGACCGGTGTGGGCTTCCCAGCACTAGGCAATCATGCAGAAGAAGTAGCTAAAGAGAAGCCAGTATGGGAATGCTTAGAGAAAGGTCTGGAAGGAAACAAGCTGTTAGCAGTGCTTACCACTCTGTTAGGAGGCTGACACAAGTATGAGAAAACTTTTGCTTTTGCACAGTTTTTTTTTTCAAATCAGTATGTATTCATCTTATTTCTTGTAACTAAACATCTGTTTTGTAAAAGAAAAGAATGAAATGGATTCTGCCATTTCAGGCTGCTGTCTCTGTGCCTCCGAAATTGCCAACTTGGGAATTGGCTGGGGACCTGACATGGGGGCCAGGGATCATGTTGATAGGAGGTCCTGCCTTCAGGAGCAAGTACAGGGCCTGCAGGAGGCAGGGGTGGGGGGTACAGCATGGCAGGCCAGTCTGCATGAGGCCCTGTCCTAACACAAGAGCCAGTCTTGCTAAGGCCCACCGGCCTGCACGGACAGGGGTCTTAGGCTCGGAGCTACTTGCTTCTAAAAGTATGACATGGGACATGTCTTATTTTTGCTTCTCAGAGCATAAAACTAGTTCTAATTATACTTAAAAAGTCTCTGGGAACACAGGAGCAGGGAAGAAGCAGCTTTATTTCCCTGGTGGAGCAAACCAAATTCCTGGAACTGATCCTGAGGAGGAAGATCTAGAATAGCTAATGTAAATTCATGCTACTGTTGCAGATTAACAACAATATTAGACACCCGGATGAAGTGTCCTGGAACCATGTGTCCATGTGCATTTTAAATGGAGGTGGCATTCGGTCGCCCATTGACGAAAGGAACAACGGTAAGCTTCCCGGGCTCAGGGCCATTAACCCAGCGTGTTCTGTCTCTGGCCAGGCCCGTGGGGAGCCTCGGCTCATCTCTGCTGTCAGCCGCGTACCAGTGTCAGTCTCTTCAGTTCGGGTCCACTGCTACACAAGTCAGTGCCTAACAGAAGGACACACACATGCTTGTGTGTTCTCGTATGTATTCACATGCTGAGGTAGCAGCTGGGGTTAACGGAACCCAGTCTTGGTCTAAACTTCTGACTCACAAAGCTAAATACTAATTATTGCTGACTAATTCAAAATACCGACAGTCTCCTCCTTGATATCAGGAAAGAGAAAGGGGCAAATTGCCAGTCTTCTGTGCTGGAAAAAAACACCCTACTGGATTAAATTTTTTTAGTGCAATTACAGATAGCCAAGATAATCATATGGGAAAACAAACCAACTAGACAGATATTCAGGACACTCTTGCAATCATCCCTCATATGCTGTCAAAACCAGTGGTCTCCGTGTGAAGCCCCAAGCTCGGCTCATTGTCAAACAGGGACAGGGCAGGGATGGACGCATTGCCTGTCTGGAGGAAAGGAGCAACGCTTAACACCCACCGAAGATCCAGCCGCAAGCCAGGGATCCAGGGCAGAGCACCGGTGACCTTGGAGTCACCGACGTCTGAGCTCCTGCCCTCGTGCCCAGGGGAAGAGAGCACGGCCAGAGGCCTCTTGAATCCGCTCCCTCCCTGAGTGTCAGGAACACTGACACAGCTGACGCTGTCCTGAGCGCGTTCCTCATCCCCACCAGTCCTAACGGAAACTGGGCTTGGGGTGAGCTTATTCTCAAGCTGTTTTTCTTCTTGCTTCATCTACAACTGCCCTCAGGCACAATTACCTGGGAGAACCTGGCTGCTGTGTTGCCCTTCGGGGAAACCTTTGACCTGATCCAGTTAAAAGGCTCCACGCTGAAGAAGGCCTTTGAGCACAGCGTGCACCGCTACGGCCGGTCTACTGGAGAGTTCCTGCAGGTGGGCGGTAAGTCACCCTTCAACGTGAGGTGGGAGTTCCTGCAGGTGGGCGGTAAGTCACCCTTCAACGTGAGGTGGGAGTTCCTGCTGGTGGGCGGTAAGTCACCCTTCAACGTGAGGTGGGAGTTCCTGCTGGTTGCCTTAGTCCCCCCGTACAGGACCTCCATGGCCAGATTTGTTTAGGTCTAACCCCACCCAACACGAATGCATAGTCTTTCAATGGCCATGGACTCCCAGACTACTGAGATTAGGTCAGGGTCAAAGCCCAGGGCCCTGGCAGTGAGCGGTATTTGCTACATCTGAGTTGGACATCAGATGGACCCTCTACAGGAACTGGCCCTCCAAATTCTAAGCAGGTCAGCTGCCTTGAGGTCTAGTTTTTGTTTTGTTTTGATTTTTTTTTTTAAGATTTTATTTATTTATTTGACAGAGAGAGAGGCAGCGAGAGAGGGAACACAAGCAGGGGGGCAGTGGGAGAGGGAGAAGCAGGCTTCCCGCGGAGCAGAGAGCCCGATGCGGGGCTTGATCCCAGGACCCTGGGATCATGACCTGAGCCGAAGGCAGACGCTTAACGACTGAGCCACCCAGGCGCCCCTGAGGTCTAGTTTCTATTAAAATCTTAGTTGTTTAGACATTCACTGTTCTTTGCTAAAAACAAAAAAAACAAAAACAAAAACACAGCCCTTCTCTGTTCTATTCGTAATTGTCTAGAACCATGCAGAGATTCAGAGAAATGCAGAGTCCAATCAGTTTTAACAAGGATGATTTCTGGGAGGGGAAGCCACCTACGTAGACACACTGGGACACCTGGTTCTGGTTCCACTGTAACCTGGGGCAGGTTTTCAACCTCTCTGAATGCAGTGAGAAAATGTGCCCTGCTCATCTCACAGATCACAGTGAAAATGGAATGGAAATAAATGTTTCCCGAACTGACAAGGACTTCTGAAACACTTTGGTCAATAATGATTTCCACAGTTCAATGAGTTACTCCTTAAAATAATATTAATAACTGTATCAACTTTGACTCTGACACCATATTTTGGCCTCCCTCTTTTTTTTTTTTTTTACTATAGATGGTAGGCCTCACTTGATGGTGTGATTGCTTTGTCACGTCCTCCCTCTATAGAACCCCCCATTCTTGGGATTGAGGGGTTGCAGAGGGTGCTGGAGGCCCACCTGCTGCCTGTGGGGTACCCCAAACATTCTGCATTTTTCCATGGGGGGCAGCAGGATTTTGATGCTCCAGCACAGTGCTGGGTAGTTACCTGTTTTGTGAAAGTCATCCAAGCCCAAATTATTACCATTTAGTAGTCTTCAAAAAAAATTTTTTTGGGGGGGGGGTCTTCAAAATTCTAACAAATGTTCTGCACCTCTCATCTGTTTCTCACTTTCCAAAGCCATTGAACCAAGTTGCTGACCAATTCATTTAGGATTTTAAAAAGATGTGGTTTCTCCCTGCATTGCTAACCCTGGCCCATTGTGAGCCAGAGTCAATTTCCCTTCCACTGGTTCTTAGACCTCCTGGGACTTGAGGATAAATCTAACCAAATGCTGCGGTGTCCTCTCAACTCCCCTGCTGAAACTTCACTCAAGCTCACACCCCCATGAAAACCAAGCCCAATGCCCCAATTCCAGATTTTGGCCAAAATCTCTTTCTTAGAAATCTCTTTCTTAGATCACTTGGATCCAGTGAAACCACAGACTCGTTTCTTTTCTAGGAATTCAAGTGGTGTATGATCTTTCCCGAAAACCTGGGAACAGAGTGGTCAAATTAGATGTTCTTTGTACCGAATGTCGAGTGCCCAGTTATGAGCCTCTCCGAATGGATAAGACATATAAGGTAGTCCTCCCAAGCTTCCTCGCCAATGGTGGAGATGGATTCCAGATGATAAAAGATGAAGCATTAAGACACGACTCTGGTAAGCACAAGTGTCTCTCCCTCTCCCTACTCCAAAAGTACTTATAGACAACAGTATTGGTCCAAAGAGGGAGCTACTCAGGACGCCAAGACTGCAAAGCCAGAACCAGATCCTGCCCCTATGTTGCCGACTCCCTCCAGCTTTGTTGGAAAACAGCAACACAGCACTGGGGAAGATGTGCCCTGCCCCTCCCCAGCACACAGACCCACCCATCTAAGCCCAAAGTGTTTTAAAACTCTTGTAAGTACATATAAACAGCTATCCAAATTGTGAAATATGAGTTTTACACTTACAGGAAAACCTCATTTCTAGAACTTTAGATTGGATCTGGAAAATCCTGTAAACTTTCTTGAAGCATTTAGTGTGAATAGGACAAGTAGGAGTGGATGGGATATGCTCCCCTCCCCGTTTTCAGCAGTGGGTCAGTGAAGCAAATTATAAGAACTATATTTAACCTCAGTCAATATTTTTCGCAGCATTTAGGGTTATTTTACCCCAGCCTCACTTTTAAAAATCAGTTCTGAGAACCACTTCATGTGGAAGTCCACTGATGGGAGATACCTGGGAGATTTGAGTCCCACAGAGGCCCTGAGGATGCCACCAGCACAGGGCCATTAAGAAAATTTTAAAAAAAGAACCACTTCACATGCATAAAGTCCACTGACAGAATATACTACCCCTTCCTCTTCTCCAGAGCAGGAGCCAGTGGGCTTACAAGACACATGCAAAGCTTCTCTACATTTCCAGGAAGGAGCTCAGCTAGGTTCCTCCTCAGCTCTACCGTGGTGGGCCTGCTATTTTAACTGCTTGTTCCAAGGAGGGTGGAGAGCAGAGCCTTTCCTGCCAGGAAAGGCACTGGCTACTTCTGTCCATTCCATAATAGAAGATGGAAGGGCAGACTTAAAAAGGTGTCCTCTTAAGTCCCACATGAGACAGAGGCTGGTGGCTGTGCATCACCCAAGCCCAGACCTATAGGTGTTGGAGAGAAGAAGCTCACATAGAAGATTGAGGAAGCCTTGGCCCTAAGGGTTCTCAACCCCAGCTATACATCAGAATCACTTGGGGAGCATTTTAAATTAAATACCAATATCTTGGCCCCAACTTTTAAGAGATTCTAATTTAATTGGGTTGGGGCAAAAGTCTCTTCCAGTGAGTCTAATGCAGGAGTGAGAACCACAGCAGAGAGTTCTTTTGTAAATATTAGTGATAAATTTTTTTATTAAGGTATAATTGACATATAACATTAGTGTTAGACATATAACATAATGATTCAATATATGTATATATTGTGAAATGATCGACACAATGTCATTAACATCATACAGTTACAAAAATTTTCTTGTGATGGGGACTTTTAAGATCTGCTCTCATAGCAACTTTCTAATATGCAAATACAGTATTAACTCTAGTCACCATGCTGTACATTATATCCCTATGACTGGAACCCTGGACTTTCGATCCCCTTCACCCATCTTGCCCACCCCCCCCCACCACCACCACCATTTCTGGCAACCACCAGTCTGTTCTCTGTATCTACAAGCTTGGTTTTGTTGCTGTTTAATTCCACATATAAGTGAGATCATATGGTATTGTCTTTCTCTGACTTATGTCACTTAGCATAATGCCCTCAAGGTCCATCCATGTTATTGCAAAAGACAAGATTTCATTTTTTATGGCTGAATAGTATTCCATTGTGTGTGCATTCATGTGTATGTTTATCACATTTTATCCATTCATCCACCAATGGACACTTTTTTCCACATCTTGGTTATTATAAATAATGCTGCATTGAACACAGGGGTGCATTATTTCTTTTTGAATTAGTGTTTTTGTTTTTTTTCAAATACTCAGAAGTGGAATTGCTGGATCATACAGTACTTCTATTTTTGATTTTTTGAGGAACTTCCACACTGTTTTCCACAGTTGCTGCACCAGTTTACATTCCCACCAACAGTGCAAGAGGGTTCCCCTTTCTCCACATCCTCGCCAACACTTGTTATTTCTTGTCTTTTTTGATAATAGCCATTCTAACCAGTGGGTGGTATCATTGTGGTTTTGATTTGCATTTCTCTGATGATGAGGGATCTTGAGCATCTTTTCATGTTGTCTGTTGGCCATCCTTATGTCTTCTTTGGAAAAATGTCTATTCAGATTCTCTGCCCATTTTTAATCAGATTTTTGTTTTACTTTTGAGTTGTAGGAGTTCTTTGTATATTTTGGGTGTTAACCCCCCCATCAGATATAGGATTTGTGATATCAAAGTGGTATTAAAACAAAATTTTTGTCAGGTGCGTATGTTTGTTGTAGTTACAGGCAATTGGTATTTTTTTAATCAGGTCTCTCTTTTGGAAATGAAGTCTCCATGGTCTGTCAATATGCGAAAATGATTTCTGACCAGGCAAACAGAAGAAAGCCACTTTTATGTCTCAACTAATTGTTCTCGACCAGTTCCCTAATGCCCTTGTTTTGGAGTGGTTCAAAAGCAATGTCAACAACCGCTTTCTTGAGTCATCTCAGAGTAGACTGAGTTATCTAATTATCTAGTAGTGACCAATGAGCACATTTGACATCTGGGACATGAAAAAGCAATCAAATTCTTTGTACCTTTGATTACTCTTCTTTTGTGACATTTTATCCCTGCTTATGAAAGAAATATCTTCCCTCTTATAATTACAGAGGACTTAAGAGAAATACATTGGTTTTCCTGCTTCTTACTCTTAATTGATAATTACTTATTCTGTAACTAAAATAATGTATATATATTTTCTAGGGGACCAAGATATCAATGTGGTTTCTGGATACATCTTAAAAATGAAAGTAATTTATCCAGCGGTTGAAGGTCGGATCAAGTTTTCTGCAGGAAGTCATTGTCATGGAAGCTTTTCTCTAATATTTCTTTCATTTCTGGCAGTGATCATTGTTTTATACCAATAGCCAAAAATTCTTCTTCCCATTAATGTGTGGAACTGCATTTTTTTCCAAGTGAGATTCAAGTCTGCCTTTCAGGAACTGGCTTGGTGATGGCACAGACCATCTTGCAGGCCCCCAGAAGCTGAGCTTAGAAGATTGTTGAATGAAGACACTGACATCATCACACAGGACCAGCAAGTTAATGAATACACAGGAAAAATAATGAAAATGAGCCCTCTGACAGGAAGGCCATCTTTAGTTTACATGTGCAAATTTTAATAAAATTTTATTAACAATCTTAAACCACAGAAATCATTATTCTCCTTTATATCCACTTTAATTTACCAGACAACAATGTTTACATTTTATCATTTACAAGGGAGTTTTAAGCACATTATCTTATTTGATGCCTGTAACTTTGGTGGACAAGGCAGGAATTTCCTGTTTGACAGATGGGAAACTGAAGCTCAGCAAGAGCAGACTTGTTCAAGGCCATACGGCTGAAAGTGATAGATCTAAGACCTGCACCCAGCTTTTCTGACCTCAAGTCCAGCACTCTTTCAACTACATCCAGTTACTGTTTGGAATGATACTTAATGGCTTCCTCTCTTCATAACTATCAACAGCATCAAGCTCCTGGATGATAAGTGTCTGCTTTATTTCAGGTCTCTATATTTTCCTTTTTAGATCCTGTTGTTATAGTGAGTTTAATGGACTAACACAGGGTAGCATTCTCTCTTGTACCACCCATGTGCCTTTAATGAGTCAGGAAACAGTGCAGCAGATGATGGGAAAGGCAAAAAACAGTCCAGGGTCAGGAAGAAAGGGAAGGGAAGAACAGGACACCCAGGATGTATTTACATTACAGAAGAAAAAGAGCTAAGGGCACTTAGATTTGTTAAGGAGATATTTGTTAAGGAGTAGCACCATAGTGCCTGACATGTGGTATTAGCTGTTAATAATTTTATGGGATTCCATCAACTCTGCCTCTGTGCTCTTTCCTTCCTTCTTTCAATGTAAAGGTATCATTAAAGAACCTTCTAAGACAAGGTGTAATTCTAAACCTGCACCTGTCCCTCCCCAGCAAGATGCCAGCACTGTACTCTAGTCACACTACACACACACACACACACACACACACTCTCTCTCTCTCTCTCTCCCTCCCTCCCCACCCCCACCCCAGTCACGGAAAATCCAGAGGGAAGATGAGACAAGGATTGATCTTTAAAAGTGGTATTATATAAGGATCATTCTCAAATATAGATATGAGAACTCCTGCCTGGGAGTGAGTCCCTCTGAGTGGAAGCTCAAGAAACACCCAGACTGATGAAATGATTTATGCCCAAAAGAACAAATACTTGCTTAAGGTGGTCACGAGACCATGTGAGCCTGCTCAGCACTGCATAAATTATTCAATGAGAAATGGGAGCCTTCATCTTAAAAAATGGTGAGCAAATAGCAGTAGAGGTTTGGAGAAGCAGTGTTTGTTTCTTAATGTTTAAAAATATTAAGTACATGTGATACAAAAATATACTTTTAAACTACAACTTCTTTAAGAAGACTACTGCAGTAAAATAATGCCCTCAGTTCTGTGCATATACAGATTAGCTATAAATAAATGTCAGTAAGATTGTGAGAGGAAAATTAGAGAAAGGTGCATTTGGAGTATATTTTTTATGCTTGGCCAGTAAAATAGAATAAATTCTATTGGACACAAATTTTTAAAGAACATTTTTGTAAGTTTTCTAACTATATGTGCATGTATTGTGCAGTGGTTTAAGAAATGACCTCAGACACTTTGCAATTGTAGATTCAATTGTGCAATTCAATTGTACAATAAACCTGAAGATATGCTCCTTGGCTTTGGTAGTTATTTCTTCTCTCAAGCAAACACTATAATCTGAGACGATATGACTGAAGGAAAACTCTGACAGCTTATCACCGGTATCATTTCCCTTGATCATAAGTCCCTTGCCATCTGATAACCCTCCCTATCCCCTTTCTCAACCAAAAAATGAGAAGAAAAATGCACACAATTTTTAGGAAAGAGAACATAGTAAATAAAGGATATTTTAAGTAATACTATTACATTTTCTGGCTTTCATGTACAGAATCTAATGTAGAAACTGTTTTGAGGCCTGTAGTTGTTTACTAAAAATAAAAATGATCAAGCTAGACAATGTTGGGAATTTTAATTTATCTGAACTGGTTATACATCTAAGAATCTTCAAGCATACTGATAACACAATAAACCAATTGTTATACATTGATCAATTGAATACATTAAAATCCATTTGACGGCAGAGCTGCCTTCAGCAGTTTGCAATGAAGAGTAAGCTGGGTTTCCTAGAAGAGAGTTGAGGCTGCCAATAGTTATCCATTGGAAAAAGTTGCTCCCTCAAGGACTATGGAGTCCCATGGGTATATGGCTAGACTTGTCAAAATTAGGGAAGGTTCCTGATTAGTTACCTAGGACTGCTGTAATAAACTGACACAATCTGGATGGCTTAAACAACAGAAATTTATCATCTCACCGTAAGTGTGAGATCAAGTTGGCAGGGTTGTTTCCTACTGAAGACGGTGGTTGAGAATCTATTCCAAGCCTCTCCCCCAGCTTCTTGTGGCCTCAGGCATTCCTTGCCTTATAGCTGGTATTTTCACCATGTTTTTACATCCCTTTCCTTCAGTATGTCTCATGCACATACCCCCCCCCCCCATTTCTTCCCAGGATTTATTTCATCTGAGAGAGAGAGAGCAGGAGCAGGAGGGGCACAGAGAGAGGAATACAGAATCTCAAGCAGACTCCCTGATGAGCACAGGACCTGACGCAGGGCTCAATCTCATGACCCTGAGATCATGACCAGAGCTGAAGCCAAGAGTTGGATGCTTAACCAACTGTGCCACCCCGGTGCCCCTCTATGTCCCCTTTTATTAGGACAAAGTCATACTGGATTAGGCCCACCATAATGACTTCATTTTAGTCACCTGCAAAAACACTATTTCCAAATAAGGTCACATTCACAAGTACTGGGCATTAGGACAGAAGCCCCCACCATCTTTTCAGGGGACACAGTTCATCCCTTTAACAGTCCCCTGGCACAATACATATAATCAACTGGGGCAACCCTGCAGCAACCACCAGCTTCTGTGACTCATACATTTTGCAAATGAAAGATTATAATGAATGTTATTTTTCATACTGGTAAAATAGGATACATTTCAGAAGTTGATTTGGCTCAAGTACAACAAATCAAAAGGCACCAGTTTCCTTATCTGATGCAGTCAAAAGGAGGTGCTTTACCCAAAAAACAAACAATACAGTCAAGAAATGGGCAGAAGACATGAACAGACATTTCTCCAAAGACATACAAATGGCCAACAGACACATAAAAAAACGCTCAACATCACTTGACATCAGGGAAATACAGATCAAAACCATAATGAGATACTACATCACACTGGTCAGAATGACTAAAATTAACAACTCAAGAAAGATGTTGGTGAGGATGTGGAGAAAGGGAAACCCTCTTACACTGTTGGTGGGAATGCAAGCTGGTGCAGCCACTCTGGAAGACAGTATAGAGGTTCCTCAAGAAGTTAAAAATAGAGTTACCCTATGACCCAGCAATTGCACTACTAGGGATTTATCCAAAGGATACAAACAGTAATCTGAAGGGGCACCTGCACCCCAATGTTTATAGCAGCAATGTCCACAATAGCCAAACTATGAAAAGAGCCCAGCTATCCATCAACTGATGAATGGATAAAGAAAATGAGGTGTGTATGTGTATATATATATATATATATATACATACACACATATATACTCTCTCTATATATATATACACACACACAATGGAGTATCAGTTAGCCATCAAAAGGAATGAAATCTTGCCATTTGCAATGATGTGGATGGCACTAGAAGGTATTATGCTAAGCAAAGTCAGTCAGTTAGAGAAAGACAAATATCGTACGATTTCACTCATATGTGGAATTTAAGAAACAAAACAGATGAACAGTGGAAGGGAAGGAAAAATAAGACAAAATCAGAGAGGGAGACAAACCACAAGAAGACTCTTAACCATAGGAAACAAACAGGGTTGCTGGAGGGGAAGTAGGGAGGGGGATGGGATAACTGGGTGATGGACATTAAGGAAGGCACTTGATGGAATGAGCACTGGGTGTTCTATGTAACTGATGAATCACTAAATTCTACCTCTGAAACTAATAATACACTATATGTTAATTAAATTGAATTTAAATTAAAAAAAAAGTTGCCTTTCTCCAAAGATTCAATTCCCCCGTTCCCTAATATGAAGGTAATTACAACTTTTCTAACAGTATACTTTTTCCTCCCCTCTTTTGTTGTTCTACATCAGGGATCAGCAAACTACAGCCTGAGGGCCAAATCCTGCCTGCCATTGCTTTAAGTAAACAGGGTGTCATTGAAATACACATCCATTACCTGGAATGCTTGACAGAAAAAAAAAAAAAACACCCCATAAATACCAAATTAACAAAAAAAAGTGAAATAAAAAAAACTATTTTTCTCTGGAGCTCATAGGCCTCAGGTTAAAGATTTCTCCTCTGTGTATCCAGCACTGTCAAAGAGATTACTGGATACATTACAGAAAGCAGAGTTGAAATGGAATATAGTGAACTGGCAAGACCTATTCACTTGTTCATTCATTCAGTCAATCATTATGCTAATGTTGACTATGTCTGAAATTACAACTTGTGTATACATCACTACAGAGCCTGCTAAGAAGAGTGGTAAATTAGACTTCTATTTTTATTTCTATTGTAAAATCAAATGGTTTTTAGTAAGTCAATAAATGATAATTTAAATCCTTGCTTTCAATCATTTCTCAGAAATCTTCTGATATCTATAAATGATTATACATAAAACACAATTTTATAATGTCCTTTTAAATCTGAAAACATCTTTCCATCTATTTAATTTCATTTTATCCCCTCAACCAGAAACACTGATAGTTGTTTCTATAAACACATTTCAAAATGTGAAGCTCATGTACTAGAGGACACACATAAAGATGGATAGAAAGTAATGAACAAAGTAAAATATTTGAAATGACTGGGGAACATACTTTTAAAAAGGATCCAAAGAATGCCTACTTTTGGAAATAAAAGCTTCTTTTATGGGGCAACACTGACAAGCACATGAAGTGAGAGACAAATCTAAGTTTGCATTCTAACTTCACTACTCTCTCTGGCTTCAATATCCTTACCTATAACATAGAAATACCATCTCACAATTACTGTGATGGATGATAAAATGTGACAGTGTATATAAAATGCCTGGTTGACAGAGACTGCATCTAGTTCCTTTTCCTTTTATAATGTCAATGGTTACTTTTGTATGTGTCAATTTTTATACATCACATTTTCTTTAAACAGAGCTCATCCACTGCTATTAATTGAACTATATCCTCCTAAAATTCTTGTGTTGGGGGCACCTGGGTGGCTCAGTGAGTTAAGTGTCTGCCTTCAGCCTAGGTAATGATCCTGGAGTCCTGGGATTGAGTCCCTTGTTGGGCTCCCTGCTCCTCGGGGAGTCTGTTTCTCCCTCTTCCCTCTGCTTCTCTCCCCACTCATGCTCTCTCTCTCTCTCAAATAAAAAAATAAAATCTTAAAAAAAAAATTCTTATGTTGAAGCCCAAAACCGCTTTAACATAAAAATTCTCCATATTTGGAGATGGGGCCTTTATGAGGTAATTAAGGTTAAATAAAGTTGTAAGAGTAGAACCCTAATCCAACAGAATTGGTGGCCTTATAAGAAGGAGAGAGAGAGATCTCTTTCTCTCTTCCCATACACCTACACAAAGAGGTCAGGGGCACATGTTAGACGGTGGCCAACTGCAAACCAAAAGAAGAGGCCTCAGAATGAAACCTACCTTGTCGGCACCTCATCTTGGACTTCTAGCCTCTAGAACTGTGAGAAATAAATTTGTTGTTTAAGCCACCCAGTCTGTGGTATTTTGTTATGGCAGCCCAAGCAGAATGATGCACTCCTAACAACATTTTTCTCATCTAAATAAAGAGAGTATCACAATTTATAGGAAGGTAGGTAAGAATGGCATATAAAGGGCTGTAAAATATTTTATTTTTTCAGTTCACTGTGACATTTTAAGTGTTTAAAATGCTATGGATTTAAATGTGAAGAGTTAACCTGATTAATCTTCCACCTGTCCCTGAGAAATTAGTAAATACTTAAGGCTTGGAATTAAAGCACTGATTCACAGAAACTCATATATATTCTAGAATTTTCAAGCAATTAAAAATATAATAAAACTACTGACAAAATCTTTTCAAAAATTACAATACGTAATAACCATTTTTTAAAACCTTGGAAAAAAATAAGTGAATAGTATTAAATAGGTTAGATTTCCAAATTATATTTAGTTTCATATTACTCAGCTTAGTATCTAATACATAGCTGAAACTCAGTGTATTCTGAATGAATGCTACAACCAATTAGCAAACACAAAACTCTCAATCTTGAAAGACAAATTTGTTTCAAGGAGAAAAGTAGAGCATGGGAGGGAACTCTGAGTAGAATTCTGAACATTGGCTCTTAATATTTTAAATTAACTTTCCTCAAGAAATAAAATTAATTCCATATTTTCCGTTTGGAGAGACAACAGACATAAACCGAAAATCTCCTTGACTCAATTGTTTACATAAGATTTTGGAATATAGCTACTATATTCATTCCGTGAAATGTAGTTGCAACCCCACAATCACAAATATCTGTAAGTAGTCAGTTTTCACACCTAAAAAGGGCTATAATTTGTCAATCCAGGAAGAGTAAGGAGAGGTCCTTTGTTTCTTATGAAAAACTCATAAAGAATGTCTTCTTTATAGACATGTAGTTAACTAATAGAAAACTAGAGTAAAAAGAAAAAAATCTACTAAAATGTATTAACTCTAAATAAGAAAGCAGATCAGATCTTACTCTTGTTTCCCCATACTAAACATAATTATTTTCAAAATGATACAATACAAAGACTATTGGTTTTATCTCTTTGCCTTAAGAGGATTATGAATTACCTCTTTTAAAATGGCAATAACAAATGACAGATGTTCTAACAAAATTTGGATAACAGGTAAAAAAATGAAAGACTATGAAACCCAATCACTTGTGACCATTATTAAGTTTGTGTTAGTCTTTATTAAAACAAAAAAAAAAAATCAAAATTTCAGACACTGGATTACATGATATATACAAGAATATACAAAAGTAAAAGAAAGAAAATACTACACTAGCACAGCAGAAATTTGTTATCTATCTGGTTATTCTTTCTCAAATCCAAATGTTTACATCCAGGATGTCACAGAGGGAACTTCTTTTTGTACCTAAAGTAAAAATAAATCTATTTAATACAAGACAATAAAACAGGGTTCATTTGTGAAGTGCCTAACAATTAATTCCATTGTATAAAAATTCTAACCTAAGATGGAGATATATATATATATATACACACACACACACACATATATATGTATATACATATATATGTATATATATATCCATATATATATATATATATACACACACATATATATATGTATATATATATCCTCCAAGTTCAATACAATAATAATATTACCATTCTCCAATTCCAATTCATTTTGTACTATTGGGTTAATATAAGCTCAACTGCCCCCAAAACACTCAAGTCTAACTTATATGGCATTCAGTGTTACAGACAAGAGGACAGCCTGAAGAGCGTGGCCCATTCTAGTGCTAGGATTGAAACACACCTTCCTCTGGGAAGACTCTACAGGGTATATATACATGTTCCTATCTGCTTATAATTAGGAAGGGACAAAGTCAAAACACAGGCTATTCCTTTCCTGTACCCCCCAAAAAAGACCCTATGTTTAAGCATGTTGAAAAAAGAAAATATAGAGTCATTTATTAAGGTTGTCCATTTTTAAAAGGATCATAGCCACAAGGGTTTCCTTAATTTTTGTGTCCCTAATTAAAACACATGTCATCATACCATCAAAAACATAAAGAATAAAACTGCTGCTTCTCAGTTACCTTATTGAGCTCTGGAAATAGTTCTTGTATCACAATGTCCAATAAAACGTAAGTCAGCTAAAGCACCAAAAAAAAATTTTTTTTGAAGGCATTAGACAAAAGCCATATAAATAATAAAAACAAAATTCAGGACTGTAGTTACCTCTAAATGAGAAGGCATGTGTACATTTTGTTATTATGCTTCATAAATGTTAAAGACACAATGAGGACACAAAATTTTAGCTATATTAAGATCTCAACAAAATATGTACAGACTGAACTATATACATAATGTTAACTGTGGTTATTCTATGTAATCTGAATGATGGAATTCTTTATTTTTAAATATTTATTTCATGAATTTTGTATATGTTCCAAATTTTCTACAATGAATCTGTTTAAGTCAAAACAACTCCCACCCATCCTGAGAAGGATCATATGGAATATTTTGTTAAGATAAACAGGTATTTCAAACATTTTCCAGTATAAAAAAAACACAAATGGTCAATATTTTATTTGTAAACACTAGTAACTTTACTATGCTCAAAACCAATTATATATAACTCTTAACTAGAGAGAACAAACTGATGGTTACCAGAGGGGAGGTGATGGGAATTAAGGAGGGCACTTATGAGGAGTACTGAGTAATGTATAAAATTGTTGAACCACTATAATGTACACTTGAAACTAATACAACACTGTATGTCAACTATACTGAAATTAAAATAGAAAATTTAATTTAAAAATAATCAGCAAAAAAGAATAACAGATAAAATACTTTTTTTCCTATCTGAACGTCTGAAGTGCACTGCCTTGATTTAACATAGTGTCACTTCACAAGTAATAATATACCAGACACCCTACTATGTGTCGTTCACAAAACCTAGCCAACACTAGTTAACCTGCTTTAATGAATTTTACCTGCTTATTGAGAACTGGCTGTTGTAAGCCATCAAATAGAAGTCTGATGCTTTCATACTTGGCTTCTTCACCAATACACTTGACTATCAGATCTAAAAGAGAAAGCCAAAGGTGAAAACACTTCATATTATAAAGTGACTCATCATTAACTGGACCATGAAGCAAAATCTTCACCCTGTTTCCCAGGTATTACACAAAAACTATAAATCCGCATTTCCTAAACCAGTGTTCTGCAAGGGGCTCCTGGAAAAAAGGCTTCTATAGTCAAGAAACTCCTCCTTTTGGAGATTCACAATGCACAAAAGTATACTACAAGCTCTGAAGAATGTTGCAGTGAAGAAATCTACTTATATTATTAAGTGATAAAAGACAGTTGGAAAATAACACATATTGTGTTATCCCATTCAGATAAAACAAATAAAATCAAATCCCAAAATTATGTGTATACATTTGTACACACTTGTATAGACATGCACAGAAAAAATGTGAGGATTAACACCAAACTGATTAGGGAGAAGATGGCTTCTACTTTTTACTCTATATATTTTCATAATGTTTGAATATCTTAATATCAGGAAAAAAAGTTTAATTTTTTAACATAGACTTTCCTCAATGAATATGACCTCTTTAATTTACTTTTGTACTTTTTTCATAATTATTACTAACCATCTTACAGAACAATCTTTTTGGGAAATGTTTAAACACTAATTTAGGATCCAAAAAGTTCTGATACATGTTTGCACAACTGTCATTTATCACATCTGTTACCAAAGAGTTGGTCTAAAATCTAAAAAATCTCTGAATGTTTTCCCCAAAACAGGAAAATAAAATTATTCTTAAGTAAACAAAGTGCTCAAATATTTGTCCGCCCCCCCATCATAATAAAACTCTTAATGATGTCCTTGAAAAGTTCTCACCTTATGTTTGCTTCTAGGAGATAAATCTAACCCTACAAGGCAAAGGCCAAATTCAATTTATAATAAGCATAGTAGATCCTTGATATTTTCAAGATATGTGGCCCAATACGGATCTTTATGAATCCCCTAATTCACCAATACTACATAGAATTTTCCAATTAAGATGCATGACGCATAATGGACAAAAGTAAGTGATCCTTTCAGATCCTTCATGAGTTCCTAAGAAATGAAGGGTAGAGGACAACAAAAAGACATGCTTAGTTTACTCACTAAATTACTCCTCCCCAAAGAGAAGTTTTGAAGTAGATGTGATTCAAATTTGTGCCTTAGCAAAATAACAAATTACTACATTCACTGGCTTTCCATGTTGTCCCTAATATCAAAACTAAGACTGTTAAAGCCATGAACGCTAAGGGCTGCTATTACAAAACAGGTAAGAAATTATTTCATCATTTACCTACAGAAGACTTAGCCCAAAATACTTTTATTCACTTTTATATTCAGACCAGGGATTTAACTTAATTGTCTTCACACAGAGCAGCAGGACTATTCTGAGACTAGTTATTCAATGATGAGAATTCTCTAAGATACAGGCCAAAGGCCTCTTCAGTTCTTATTCTATATTTTCTCTCTGGGCATTATTATCCACTACACATAACACCCATATCTCTATCCTTTACCATTCATTTCTCCAATTTCAAAACCTGGATATCTAACTACTTATTAGACATTTCCTCCTAAATAATGTGTAGGCACTTCAACTCAAAATATTCTAAACTAAATATCCTCTGTTTTGAACCCTTAACATTTTTTCCTTTTATTTCTCACTCTATAAAAGGTTACTACCATTCATTTACCTTATGGCTCAAGCCTACCTCCTTTACAGAAGAAGTGATCATTCTCCTCCTCTGAGATACTCTGTGAGTTGAACATGCCTATCACATGTATGTTTTGTCTGTATACCTGTCTTCCTGCTAGACCGAATTACTCAAGTATAGTTTTTATATCCCTTGCTCTCTGCATAGTGCCTGACATGTGGAAAGTGCTCAATAAATTTAGAATGAATGAATTCTGATCTTTTACTCATAAACACTACTGTAGTTCTTCTCATAGTATAATGGGCAGCAGGATTCCAATTGTCCCACAAACATATCACTTTGATCAGTCTGGTTGTAAGTTGCTATTGAAAGAATCTGGCTACTGCATAAGTAGAAAAAGCCTATATTAAAGTTCATAGTGCTTATATCATAATAACCAAATTTTATTTAACTAATGAGTTAATTTTAGTTGGTCTTTATAACTATTTCTAAAATGATAACTCAAAATAAAAATTAGTTTCAATAATTACTATATTGTGTATGGGGTGCCTGGGTGGTTCAGCTGGTTAGGCATCTAACTCGTGATTTCACCTCAGATCATGATCTGGGGGTTGTGGGATTGAGCCCCATATCAGGCTCTGCACTTGGTGCAGAGTTTGCTTGAGATTCTCTCTCTTCCCCCCACTTACATGCTTGCTCTCTCTCTCCAAATAAATAAAACCTTTTAAAAAATTACTATACATTGTGATATCAAAGAAATGCTAATCTATATTAAACTACCTAAATATTATACCTGGAATATAATTCATCATTTCTTCAAAAGTCTGTTTTGCTCGTTTTTGCTTATCTTGGAGAGAGCGAGGTTCAGTGTTTTCACAGAATACAGCATCTAAAAACACACAAAAAGAAGTAGTTGCTGGAATTTTTACCTATTATACACAAAGTACTTTTTCATTGCAGAAATACTAATAAACCAATGAAAAACAGGACACAAAAGTACGTAAAACATGAAACAAACACATGACAAAATACAAACCTCTGAGAAGTGTTATGAGTGACACCAAACGGTGCTCCTGAAATAGCTGTTCTAGTTTACAATGAAGATAGTAGTCAGTATACATTTCCAGGGTGTTTTTAAACAGGATTCGAGTTCCCATTAAGAGATGATGAAGCCAGTCAGGAACTTGGAAAACCACCCGTCCTGAGAAGGATCATATGGAATATTTTGTTAAGATAAACAGATATTTCAAACATTTTCCAGTATAAAAAAACACAAATGGTCAATATTTTATTTGTAAATACTAGTAACTTTAATATGTTCGAAACCAATTATATCAAATTCTTATAAAAGAATTATCTTCAATTTAAAAAGAAGTTACAATGGGGCAATAGTGAAGAGCATTAATTTGCATCACAGAAGAAATGATACATGAATGAAAAATAGGTTTTCACAGTAACCACATAGACCTTACCTACCTACATACATCAGGTAATCATAGACTCCTTCTACAGTCATCATCTCCATAAAATAATTCTGATTTTGCTTTCTTTCTGTATTCTCAGCACGGTTTGCATTATTCTTAAACAGATCACTGAAAAGCTAAAGTAAAAATTGAAATAATTAAGAGATATGTAGTTTATTACACCTGATAACAATCACTAAAGCTAAAGTGACACAGAGCACAGGCACTTAAACTTTTCCAATCAAAACAGAATTATCAGATAGGTTATAAGCTCTGCCTCTAAAGTTTCGTATTTATGCCCAAAATTTAATAAAAAATACATATTCCTCCCAAAATAGTACATAAAAGTCTGCATTAATTTTAGACACAAAAGAAAATTCATTATTCATGAAGAAACCTTTGTTTTTTTAATACCAAAAGGAGCAAATAAACATGTAAAGATGTATATATATATTAATGATAGCTAATTTTAAAACTAACATGACTTATAGATTATAATTCACAATTAAAGGGTGTTTAGATGTGAACATTGAGCTTTAACCAAAATTCATTTGGACAATAACAGTCACAGACCAGAAATGCCTAATCAGTGTGAAAAAAAAAACAAGATACAGAAAATTACTTATAGTAAAAAATTATGAAATGCAACTAAACCTAAGCCCTACCTACCCCCAGGATATGCAAAAAAGTCTACTGTTGGTAATAATAATAAAATAGCAGAAATCAAAGAACTAAAAGTCTGACAGTAAAGATCAACAAAGCCAAAAGATGAAAAGGACAAAATCTTTGGCAAGACTGATCAAAAGAAAAAAAAGAGAGAGACACAAATAATGTTAAAAATAAAAGGTGACATAGCTACAGATGTCAGAAAAAACAACTACTTTAGGCCAAAAAGATTTCAAATTTAGATAGAATAAAAAATGTGTTGAAAAATATAACTTATCGGGTTGCCTAAGTGCCTCAGTTGGTTAAGCATCTGACTCTTGATTTTGGCTCAGGTCATGATCTCAGGGTTATAAGATGGAGCCCTGCATCCAGCTCCATACTGGGTATAGAAGCTGCTTAAGATTCTCTCTCTCCCTCTCCCCCTCCCCCCCTTAAAAAAAAATATATAAAACCTATCAAAACTGACTCATGTTGGGGCACCTGGGTGGCTCAGTTGATTGGGCATCCGACTCTTGGTTTCAGCTCAGGTCATGATCTTGGGGTCATGGGATCAAGCCCTTCATCAGGCTCCACACTCTCAGCTCAGAGTCTGCTTGTGCCTCTCCCTCTGCTCCTCCCCCAGCTCACGCACACTCTCTCTCTCTGTGAATAAATAAAATCTTTGAAAAAAAACTGACTCATGCAACAAATCTGAAGAATACTATATAATCATTAAATTAAGTTGTTTTTTAAAAAAACCTTCCTACCAATAAAACTCAAGGCTTAGGTGACTTTAACAACCAGTTCTACCAATTATTTAAAGAACTAGTAATTCCAATTATAACTTTACCAGCAAACAGAAAAAGGTTAATATAACTTTGATACCAGAACTTGACAAGGATAGAATGAGAAAGAAAAATTATAGGCCAAGTCCATCTATAAACATGAATACAAACTTCTTTAACCTTATTTATAAAGAATATCCATGAAAAAAGCTACACTACATGATTTAATGGTGAAACATTGAAATCATGCCCTTTGTACAATAGTTCATAGCCATGAATGAAACAAAGCCATCATTTGCATATAAGTATGTAAATCTAAAAGAATTAATAGATATATTACTAAAGTTAAGACAAGTCTAGCAAGGTTATTGAATTTAAAAAATCAACACACAAAAATTAACTATTTGTTTACCAAAAAGAAAGTTATAAAGTGAAAAAAATATAAAAGATACCTTTTATACTAATAACAAAAAAGTGAAGTTTTTGCGGAGCGGGGGAGGGCTATCCTTTGAGCTCACATTGCTCCCCATGCTGAGCACTATTCTGGAACTAAAGCAAGCTTTTTTTTTTTTTTTTTTTTTTAATGATTTCATTGATTTATTGGTCAGAGAAAGAGTGTGCCAGAGAGAGCACAAGCACGGGGGAGCGGCCGGCAGAGGGAGAAGCAGGCTGCCCACTGAGCAAGGAGCCCGATGCAGGACTTGATCCCAGGACCCTGGGATCACAACCTGAGCCGAAGGCAGACGCTTAACCAACTGAACCACCCAGGAATCCCTAAAGTGAGCTTCCTGCGAACTGGAAATATATCTTTATATTCCAGAGCCTGGCACTCTCAACAGTAGGCACAGGATAATATACCTGCTTAATGAATGGATTAAATATTATATAAGCCATTGAAATGAGACAAAACAAACATCAAATCAATATAAATACATTGTATCAATTAATTTCTTGAGTACTGGAAGTTGGTGATTTACTACCTAAGAAAACCACCTTAAAAAAATCCCCCAAATACAGAAATGGCAGAAGTTTACAAATACAATTATCTAAAGAAACATTTACCCGTTAATGTAAAGAGGCAAGAAACTATATATGCCCTCTTTATACTGTACAACTGATTTCCACATAAAGGATATAAGTCCTATTCATTTCATTAACACATGATGCTCCCTATAATGGAAAAGTCTCAAGTAGGACAACTTCAAACTTTATGACTCTAAGGCAATACGCAGTACCTTCTTGTTGTTTTCTGAAGTAGGGCTGAGAATGGTCAGTTCCGGTTTACTTGGTTTAGGCTTTGGAGATTCACAAGAATTAATGAAATTCATGATGAAAGGTTCCAAATGCTGACCTTTCTGTTGTAATACAGAAATCATGGTATAAAAATCAAAAATCAAGATTATGATTTTTAATAATCATAACCCATTAAAATTCACTGATATTTAAATATGCTTACAACTATCATGTTACAGAATATACATAAATCACTTATTCACCTCTTTCATTAGTTTTCCAGGAACAGACTTTATAATTTTCCCTGCAATTAAAAGTAAAATATTAATTTTATGAAGGCATAATATATCTCATAATTGCTTACATGTATACTTCACTCAGTAATTTTATTTTTTTTTTTAGATTTTATTTATTTATTTGACAGAGACAGAGAGCACAAGCAGGGGGAGCGGCAGGCAGAGGGAGAGGGAGAAGCAGACTCCCTGCTGAGCAGGGAGCCCAAAGTGGGGCTCGATCCCAGGACCCTGGAATCATACCTGAGCCGAAGGCAGATGCTTAACCAACTGAGCCACCCAGGTACCGCTTCACTAGGTAATTTTAAATACTAAACAGCCAAGTAAAAAGTAAAACAGTAAAAAATTTATAACTTACCATTTCACATTCAATAGAAATTTACAATAAATATGGTATTCTTAACTATTTATAGATACAACATTTAGGATTTACAGTGGGATTGGGGAGGGTGGGTAAGGGACTGAACAAGCCAAGTGTTGGTAACTGCTGAAATAGAGTGAGAAGTTTATTATACAAAATTCTCTACTTTCGTGTATATTTGCAATTGCCCATAAGAAATGTTTTCAAAAGATTTTAAACAATAATGAATATATAAAGATATCTAAGAGCATGTAAAAGTCAGTCAAAAAAGTTTTAGGAACTGCTAGAACATTTAAATTGGCTATTTAGGGGCACCTGGGTGGTTCAGTTGGTCAAGTGTCCAACTCTTGATTTTGGCTCAGGTCATGACCTCAGGGTCATGAGACTGAGCCCTGTGTCAGGCTCCATACTCAGAGTGGAGCCCACTTAAGATTCTCTCTCTCTCTCTCTCTCTCTCCCCCTCTTCCCTCTCCTCCACTCACACGCTCTCTTGCTCTAAAATTTACAAAAAAACCCCAAAAAAACAAAAAAACCACACACATTGACTATTTTTTTTTTAAATATTTTTATTTATTTTTTCCAACAGAGAGAGAGACAGCGAGAGAGGGAACACAAGCAGGGGGAGTGGGAGAGGGAGACGCAGGTTTCCCGCGGAGCAGGGAGCCCCGATGCGGGGCTCGATCCCAGGACCCTGGGATCATGACCCGAGCTGAAGGCAGACGCTTAACGACGGAGCCACCCAGGCGCCCACACACTGACTATTTAAATAGCTTTATATTCTGAGTTTTAGATTAATACATATTCTAATCATGTTTGCCAAAATTTCTTCTTGATCTTATCTCTAGGTTCCCTTATTTTAAAATACCAAGCATCTTGAGATTTTCTCAAACATTAGAAATGCCTATAAAAATTAGAATTGATAAATGCAACCTAAAATTTCTTGCAGTTCAATTTAGAAAAAAGTAGACTTATGGCAAAAGCAGGAGACATAATAACAAATTAAAATGGGAGATTGTTTTACAACATGAAAACCACCCAACCCTCTCCTATCAGCTTATTTCTCCTTTGCTACCCCCATAAACTATGCCTTCCTCCTTAGAATTTCCCACGTGCCTGGGGCACCTGGGTGGCTCAGTCAGTTAAGCATCTGCCTCTTGATTTTGGCTCAGGTCATGATCTTAGGATCCTGGGATCAAGCCCTCCATCAAGCTCCACACTCAGCAGGAGTCTGCTTAAGGATTCTTTCTTTCCCCCTCCCTCTGCTCACTCTCTCTCTCTCTCTCTAATAAATAAATCTTAAAAAAAAAAAAAAAAGATTCCCCAAGTTCCTTAAACTACAGAGCTTCATCCTGTTCTTTTCTGTCTCATCTACATGCTCTTCTTGAGACAATTTATTTGTTCAATCTGATTTCAAATAACACTCAAATCTCTATTCCTTGCCTACCTCCTGGCCTCTCCTGCCTTACAAAGCTTCTTTAACTGGATTCTATAAACTCAACAAGTTCAGAACTGCTATTAATTTATTCCTTATCTCAGCAAGTAACAGCATCCCTCCAATTGTTTAAATAGAAACCTGGGTCATCTTTGATCATTTCTTTTCCTTCAGTAAAACCTAGTCAGCAACCAGGTCTACCCAATTCTGTCTCCTAGACATCATATATAACCAAGTATATAATGTCCTCACATTTTCCCCTGATAAGAAAACCTCCATGTACAAACACGAAGTATTTTGGCTCAACTAAATGTATTAATTTGAAGAGATACAAATGAAAGCCAAATGCCCATTTGTAATATTTAATTCATTTGTTTAACTCTATATGTACTTAAGATTATATTATATAAAATATATTTAGAAATATTGTTTTATTTCCATTATTATCTTTAACAATTTTATTCAAACCTTGCCTGCTTATATTACTGTGGTCTATACTGAAATTTATATAAAAGAAATCATGCTGTATATATTCTTCTGTGTCTTGCTTCTTTCATTCAACATCACACTTTTAAGATTATCAATGTTGTTGCAAATAGCTACATGCTACAGGTATTCATTTTATGAATCTACCACAATTTATCTGTCTTCTATTGGTAATGACACTTGTATTATTTCCAGTTTTGGCTATAAAAACAATGATGCTAAGAACATTCTTCAATATGAATAAAAGATTCTCTAAAGTATATATCTCAGATAGGGACTGCTGAGTCATTCAGTTTTATACCAAACTGTTTTTCCAAGTAGTTTCCAATTTATATTCCTCTAACAGTGTATAAGAAGTCTGTTAGAATTTGACTCATAGCTTCACTATATAAACTATTCCTCTACATTAATCTGAAAATGCTGATTATTTTCAGTTTATCCTCATATACATGATTCCCTTTTTAAATTGACTTACCAAGATTTACATCTGGTAGTATCTTATCAAGAAACTGTGTTTCTCCACCATTGGGGGAGAGAAAATCTGCCAGAAGTTGACTATTACTCAGTTCTGGATGCTGTAGAAGTTTCTTGAATGAAAAAAGAAAAAAAAGTGGGGTGGCGGGGAATTTAAAAGGGTCATCAAAACTATATTAAAATGGTAAGAACATCAACAAAAAATTTTTTAACCCTCAAAAGCTCTTTTATATTCAGAATAACAAAATTACATTTGTAGAAAGAACAGTATCGCACAGCAGCTAAGACCTCAGCCTCTACAGTCAGACATGAAAGGGTTTGAATTCCAGCTCTTCCACTTACCAGTGAGGTGTCCCTAGAAACTAAATTCCTAAATTACATAAGAGTTTCCTCAAATGTAAGATGAAGATAATACTACTTACTTTACAGCGTTGTTATATAAAGCATTTAGTACAGTACCTGATACACAGGAAGGAAGATTAAACACTAGCTAATATCGTTGCTCTGTTTCTCAACAATTAAAGAAGTACTACAATATCATATAACTTTCCTGATAATTAAAAGAAGTTGGCACAAAGGGTTTTGCAGAAAACTAAATGTGGAAATGTGAAATAATTTGGAAAATCTGTTGTCTGTTCTTCTTGCAACACTATTTTCTTACAAGATTAACTGACTTTTTAAAGCCGAAATTAACCCAGTCTTACCTAATATTGTTTTGTAACTTGAAACAGTTACAAAACTTTATGAGCAGAAATCTGTATAAATGAAATACCAGTAACTGAAACCTTTACCTCCCTATCACCAGAAAATACTCTTCTAGAATGTGGTGCTCTAGTTCTGAGAAAGATTTAGTTCATTCAAATAATGGGTTAATGGTACAAACAAAGGCAAAGGTTAACACTACTATATACTAGGTTCAAATATCCTTGCAGTAGTTAATAGTTATTTCATATTTCAATTTTCACACTACCAAAAAATTATATAACAAGTATTTTCTGGGTTGAAGTATTCAACAGTTCAAATACAAGATATAAAATATAAATATCCCTTTACACTGATTAATATTTTTAATTTAAAAAGTACTTATTGTGGGCAAGGAGGCATCCAAATTTAACTGAATTAACACTTACTTAATAAAATCTACAAAATTTCATGCCCAAATAAAAAAATATTTTTTTTAACAACAACAATAAAAAAAAAAGTATCCACTTTTTGGTCTTATGCACTTTTTTTTTTTTTTTAAAGATTTTATTTATTTATTTGAGAATGAGAGAGGGAACACAAGAGGGGATAGGGTCAGAGGGAGAAGCAGACTCCCCGCTGAGCAGGGAGCCCGATGCGGGACTCGATCCCGGGACTCCAGGATCATGACCTGAGCCGAAGGCAGTCGCTTAATCAACTGAGCCACCCAGGCGCCCCTGGTCTTATGCACTTTATTAAAGAATGATGGTCATTAATTTTAGAGAAGTCTAAATTAATTTTAGTTAAGCGTCTGACTCTTGATTTCGGCTAACTGTACTAATAATGGAAATAACATACCAATTACATTGTTTACGTAACACTGTGCACACACTGAAAAAAAATAAAATTCAATTCCAAGTGGTGACTGGTAGAGAATCAGGAGATCCCAAGAAACTGGAAAAACATCTACAAATTGCAAAACAAAAAACTGAGGAATAAAATGGGAGGGAAGATTCACAAATTCAGAAGTGCTAAACACAAAATCAAACAGAAACAAGACAAAAAAAAACCTGGCTAGTTTAGTCAGTAGAGTATGCTTCTCTTGATCTTGGGGTTTTGAGTTGAAGCCCCACGTTGTGGGTACAGATTACTTTAAAAAATAATAATTTTTTTTTTAAAAAGACAAGAGGGGCACCTGGGTGGCTCAGACACTTGAGCATCTGCCTTCAGCTCAGGTCATGATCCCAGCGTCCTGGGATCGAGCCTCGCATCGGGCTCCCTGCTCAGCCAGAAGCCTGCTTCTCCCTCTCCTACTCCCCCTGCTTGTGTTCCCTCTCTCTCTGTCTCTATGTCAAATAAATAAAATTAAAAATTAAAAATCTTTAAATAAAAAAAAGACAAGAACAACAAAAAAAACTACCCAGTATACTTAGAATGCATTTCATCTTGCACAAGTTTTTCTTTATCTTCTCACACCAAAAGTTTTAAACTAAACTCAACATACAATTTTTCTTCTTCTAAGAAAATATCTGCTATTTCATTGGTTATCAACTTTTTTAAAAAGTATACTTTTTTTTTGAGAGAGACAGTGCTTGAGTGGAAGGGAGGGGGAGAGGGAGAGAGAGAGAATCTTAAACAGGCTCCAAGCTGAGTCTATAGAGCCCAACACAGGGCTCGATCTCATGACCCTGAGATCATGGCCTGAGTTGAAATCAAGAGTCGGATGCTTAACCAACTAAGCCACCCAGGAGCCCCTAAAAAGTACACTTTTCACAATAATTCATTTTCACATGGAAAAAATATCTTAAAAGAATTTCAGAAATCCACACTGACAGGTATCTGTAAAACAAAATATATATACACAAGAGGAAAAAAAGACCAATTAGACAATGCTATGATTAGCAATGTTTTCAATTGAGTTGGTACTGTACCTGTAAATATTCCTGAAACTCTTCTCTCTTTGACTTTAAGAATTCATAATTTTTGGGGCCAATGATCCTCTTGGAAGGAAGCTGGGCATCAGGAAATGTGCCTGAAATTAATATACATGAGAGTAATTAGTATGATCTGCTACTATTTTAAAAACCTAATTTATAATTTACTATGGCAAATTCAGATTCACAATGCTCCCTTATAGAGATGTAGCATTATCTTTTCAATAATCTGGACAAGGGGCACCTGAGTGGCTCAGTCAGTTAAGCATCTGCCTTCAGCTCAGGTCATGATCCCGGGGTCCTGGGATCGAGCCCTGATTCGGGCTCCCTGCTCAGTGGGGAGCCTGTTTCTCCCTCTCCCTCTGCTGCTCCCCCTGCTTGTGCCCTGTCAGGTAAAGAAATAGAATCTTTTTAAAAAGATTAATTACATATATACATGCATACATACATAAATAATCTTGACAAAATCCATAAGCTTCAAGTCAGAAGTCCAGACCAAAGAACCTGAGTCTACTGATAACCAAACTGATCACCAACTCTTTGTTGACACAGATTTATTTAAGCCTTCTATACTAGTAAAAAAGCCTCAGAAAAATACCATGAGATTATTTTGAAGTTGGTGGGATTCTCTTAGACAAAATCTTACAAAGAAAAATACCTACTCTCTCATGGGGAAAAAAGGTAGCATGTTGCCAATACTATACAAGATTAAAAACAAAATTTAAAAACCATGGACATGGGGTGCCTGAGTGGCTCAGTCAGTTGAGCATCCAACTCTTGGTTTTGGCTCAGGTCATGATCTCAGGGTGGTGAGATCAAGCCCAGCATCAGGCTCCACATTGGGCATGGAGCCTGCTTAAGATTCTCTCTCTCCCTCTGCCCCTCCCCCACCCCCCTCCATTCTCTCTCTTTCAAATAAATAAATAATCTTTAAAAAACAAACAAACCATGAACATGCTTTCTCAAACAGGGCTGACTTTAGAAATTTAAATACCAAAAAGGAAAATATTGTTGGGAATACAACCAACTTAGGTTGATCCAGGGCTTTAAAGTATGGATTATATGTCTTCTCTCAACCCCAAATCCAAAGGAAAAATTCTCAGAGAAAGGAGATAAGGATGGTACTGCACAAGATTGGCAGAGACAAAGAGAAAACCATTTTCTTTTTTAGATTTTATTTATTCATTTGTGTGAAAGAGCGAGAGCACGCACAAGCAGGGAGAGAGCACATAAGCGGCAGGCAGAGGGAGAAGCAAGCTCCCCACTGAGCAAGGAGCCTGATGTGGGACTTGATCCCAGGACCCTAGGATCATGACCTGAGCCAAAGGCAGATGCTTAACTGACTGAGCCACCCAGGCATCCCAAAGAGAAAACCATTTAAAGACAAGTACAAATTCAAAACCTAAGCAAAGAGTTTGGAGTGAGACCTTGTATTTTTTATCATCCTATAATCTCCTTATCATGGGCTTTGCTCTTAGTAAAGAAGGGTAAAAAAGGTTCCTGTCCTTCTCAGTTCAGAACCAACCTGAATTTGGATCAGGGACACTCCACAAAGCTTCTCTAAAATAGGGGTGCCTGGATGGCTCAGTCGGTTAAGCGCCTGCCTTCGGCTCAGGTCATGATCCCAGGGTCCTGGGATCGAGCCCCGCATCGGGCTCCCTGCTCGGCAGGAAGCCTGCTTCTCCCTCTCCCTCTGCCTGCCTCTCTGCCTACTTGTTCTCTCTCTCTCTCTCTGTCAAATAAATAAATAAAATCTTTAAAAAAAAAAAAAGCTTCTCTAAAATAAAGATTCATGGGCACCTGGGTGCCTCAGTTGGCTCTTGACTTTGGCTCAGTTCATAATCTCAGGGTTGTGAGATCGAGCACCACATCAGGTTCCATGCTGGGCATGGAGCCTACTGAAGATTCTCTCTCTCTCCTTCTGCCCCTTTCCCATCCCACCTATGTGCTTGCTTGCATTCTCTCATAAATAAATGAATAAATAAATAAAATAAAAAGATTCAGAATACACAAATCAAACTCACGAATCTATGTACAAAATGACTGTAAATACTTCATAACTACATCTCTGACATTAACTAAAATAAATGGATGATAAAAGAGACTGAAAGGTGAGGGGAAGAACTAAAATGGAGAAGTGTTCCCCTTTTCTGACTGATCTATCCTTAAAAGAAATATTACACTACAAGTTTTGTTTCCATATCTAAGAGCTAAATAAAGCATTGCCATGATGCAGAGCAAACATGTTTATCTAGAAAGATGGCAAAAGAACAGAGCAACTCTGAAATGCCTGTTTTAAATTCTCTGCCACATCGAAATAAACAAAAATTCAACTGGAAAGAGAATCTCTTCTAAAATACAATTAAAGAATAGCTATCTTTTAATTTTTAACATTATTATTTTAAAAAGCAATAAATGTGCACTGTAAAAACTTTAAAAATATAAGCCAGAAGTGGTGGGGGGTGAGAGGGATGGGTGGCTGGGTGACAGACATTGGGGAGGGTATGTGCTGTGGTGAGCGCTGTGAATTGTGTAAGACTGTTGAATCACAGACCTGTACCTCGGAAACAAATAATACATTATATGTTAAAAAAAGAAGAAGAAGAAGAAGATAGCAGGAGGGGAAGAATGAAGGGGGTGAAATCGGAGGGGGAGACGAACCATGAGAGACTATGGACTCTGAGAAACAAACTGAGGGTTCTAGAGGGGAGGGGGGTGGGGGGATGGGTTAGCCCGGTGATGGGTATTAAAGAGGGCACGTACTGCATGGAGCACTGGGTGTTATACGCAAACAATGAATCATGGAACACTACATCAAAAACTAATGATGTACTGTATGGGGATTAACATAATTAAAAATATATATAAGGCAGAAATAAGATAAAAACAGTTCATTCCTATTATGAACAGCAGTGTACACAAGTGTTACTGTCACATTTTCTTGGTATAATTACTTAAAATCAAAAAATTCATCTAGTTCAATAGCTTCTTCAAGAAAGCTAATGCGAAAATGGAACATTTTTTTCAAAAACAACATACCATGAAATTCTGTTAGTTTTGATTCAAGTACATAGAATTCTAGATATCTTCTATAGACAGACCAATGTTCAGGCTCATGCCCAACTGTAAATTGAATGAATACACAATAAGTAATAAATAATTTTATAAACTATTAGAAATTATTCCAGTCTTAATAATTATTTCTTAACATCACCATTAACGTATTTTATCCCATATTTTAATTTTAAATTTAAGAGATGGATAAATTTTACCTATTTATGAAGTTATCTAATAAATAATTTTTCTACAACAGAATCACAGAGCTGACAAATTTCAAAAAATAATGCAGTTATTATTTTTAAAATGTCATAGAAATAATGTATTTCATAAAACTTATAATCAATTTTAGGTCTCTCAAATATTTACCAACTGTCCTGATCTAAAACAATACAGACAGCACTATCCAACAGAACTTACTGCAATTCTGAAAATGTTTTATATTATCTGCATTAATATAGAAGCTATTAGCCACATGTAGTTACTGATCACTTGAAATGTGGCTATTGTAAGTAACTAAAATTTTAATATAATTTAATTTTCACTGATACATGTGGCCACTAAATTGAATAGTACAAAGTAATGGTTTACAGAATGAATTGGGTCAGACTGCCTATTCCAATCCCAGCTCCCCCATTTACTAAGTGAACTTGAATAAATAACCTCACTGTGCCTTAAGTTGCTTAGAATAAAAATAATTGTACCCATTACATAAAATAATCCACTTAAATCACTTCTGTAGAGTGCACAGCACAGAGTAAGCACCCCCAAAATGTTAACTGCTATTATTAGCATCTCATGTCATTCTAGCATAGATTTGGAAATGCAATGAACAAAGTCAACTAAAACCACAATAACCCAGGGGCACCTGGGTGGCTCAGCCTGTTGAGCATCTACCTTCAGCTCAGGTCATGATCCCAGGGTCCTGGGATTGAGCCCCGCATCGGTCTCCCTGCTCAGTGGGAGGCCTGCTTCTTCCTCTCCCACTCCCCCTGCCTGTGTTCCCTCTCTCACTGTCTCTCTCTGTCAAATAAATAAATAAAATCTTTAAAAAACACACACACACAATAACCCAAAAACACCACCTGTATTTAGAAAAAAACATGATAGGGGCACCTGGGTGGCTCAGTCAGATAAGCGTCTGCCTTCAACTCAGGTCATGATCCCAGGGTCCTGGGATCGAGCCCCACATCAGGAGCCCGCTTCTCCCTTTCTCTCTCCCTCTGCCTCTCCCCTTGCTTGTGCTCACTCTCTCTCTCTCTCTCAAATAAATAAATAAAAGCTTTAAAAAAAAATGATATAGTCACAATCTATAAAGGAAATCGAATTTTTCTTCCTCAACGTTGGTCTTAAAAGATCTATATCATACTTAGTTTTGGTTTTTAAAATCCTAAAATTGCTATTTTGCTACACATATAAAATCAATGATGCACTTTTTTCCCCTCATGGGCCATGGCTTCCTAAAAGCACATTACATTGACAAAGTCTGTAGCACTGCTGAGAAAAATAATCCTTAGTTTTAAGATTTTTTGGTTTAAATTTTATGGTTAAATTATTAAGGCAAACTTCTAAAAATAAAGCACAAAAATTAATGATGTCTGTCCAAAAGGCAAAAACATAGTAATTTAAAAGTATATCATATGTAAATCTTTGAAAAGGACACAAGTTACATGCTTACATAAATTTACTTATAATGATAGGAATTTATATCTGAAGAGTCAGAAGTTTAAAATAATTTTCTGAGAAAGAAGAACAGTGTGGGAAGAGCCAGACTTTAAGTACTAAGCACAGAAGTAGTTGAATCCAGAAACTAACTACAGTATTTCTTTTCAATTCTTTCCAACGCTTAAAATGCCAATCAATAGAAACAGCAGACAAAGATGCATACCAAACTATGTTTGAAACTGAAATCAGACTATAATATCAACAATGGTTTGTCTCTACACCTATTAGAATGCTGAGCTAGAAAAGCAACCAGCAAGACTGAATGGCAACAGCAGCAAAATCAAGTAGCACTGACTCCGAACTGGACAGAGCAAGACCATGCCTGGTACTTAGTTATAAGAGGAAAAATCATAGATAGCTACTCCAAGCATTCTTCCTTTCCCATTCCTATGTTTTATTTCTTGAAATAGGATTAGCCTCTAAGAAAAATTTTAAAAACCTATTATTTTTTGAAAAACAAGGGGAATTATTAGTACTGACCTTCATGCTAACATTTAGTCACTCCTCTCTCAAAACCTTTTTTTTAATTTAATTTTATTATGTTAGTCACCATACATTACATCATTAGTTCAAAACCATTTCCTAACACTGCCACTTTTTTTCCTTCTTTCACCACAGACAGTTCCCTCTGCCCAAGCTCAACTTCATTTTTCTATCATTCCCAAAATGTGCACAACTTTGATGTGCTTTTGCTCACACTGAATGCCCCACTTCTTGGACAAAACCCAGGGTAGTGACTGTTACCTTGCTATGGATGCTATTTACCCCCTTCTCTATTAGTTCACATCTGAAACTACCAAAAGAAAAAAGATAGCAAAACATGAGGAAAATTTGTCACATTGTGTTTTATCGTATTTTTATAAATTCTAATTAGCCCACAACAATGGAAGAGAAATGCTATCTTAATGAAACTGGTATAATACCTGATACACTGCTATATGCGTTACTCATAGTCAATTAAGTATAATGGTTAATGATGATGGCAACAAAACCATTAAAAGAACATTACATAAAATGCCTTGCTGCATTGTCAACATGTCTCACACACATCTACTCAATACGTATTGGTTGAACAAATTAGTTAAATGGTATTAGAGATAACCTAGAAAAGCCTAAGCTTTCATTCAAATTTCTGTTCAGACACTTATCTTTCAGATGTGCAGTCATACTCAAAAGTTAGAAATGGAAAAATGTTTATCATTCCTGATAAATACAGACTAATCAGCATCTTTTAAGAAAGGTATTCATAAAGCTTCCTACCTGCTCTTCTATCATTTCTTTCGACATCAATACAAAACACAGGTATTCTCTCCTTTTTCTCTTTCCTTTCAGAGGAAGGATCTTCAAAAAAGTCTACATATGGAATGCTAATTTTCCATGCAGCAAGGTTTCGGGGAGTATTAGGTGTGCTCACAGCTTCCACTGGAGAATCATCTTCCATTACAACAATACCTTCTTCAATCTGGAAAAACATCATCAGGAAAAATTTAATATTTCCAGGTCCTTTAGACCTATAGCATACAAGGTACAACTATAAAGAGTATGTCCATATAAATTCCATAATTTTCTAATACAAAACATTTGAAATTAGGTGATACCAAATTTTCTACAAAAAATACAAAGATAAAAAATTAAAAACAAGTTACTAGCATCAACTCCAGGATTTATTACATCACCTATATATGAAAATTCCATAGAAAAGAGAAAATAGGCACTTCAGAGATTAAAGATCTTGAAAATATACAAATATAGAAAAATATTTAACTATGGTACTAAGTAAAAATTAATGTACTGGTATTTTTCATTCTGACAATATGTATTGAGAAAGAGTCATAAAACAGTTTTAACTAAGTAAAGATGGTCACCGACTTATGATAGTTCAAAACTTATGATTTTTCAACTTTACTATGATACAAAAGCGATATGCATTCAGTAGAAGCTGTACTTTGAATTTTGAGTTTTTATCTTTTCCCAGGCTAACAGTGTGCAGTGTGATAATCTCTTGTGATACTGGGCAGTGGCGCAAGCCACAACTCCTGGGCAGCCACTTAATCACGAAGGTAAACAACCAATACACCTACAACCATTCTGTACCCAAAAAGCCATTCTTTTTCACTTTCAATACAGTATTCAATAAATTACATGAGATATTCAACACTTTATTATAAAATAGGCCTTGTGTTAGAGGATTTTGCCCAACTGTAGGCTAATGTAAGCATTCTGAGCTTGCTTAAGGTAGGCTAGGCTAGGCTAAGCTATGATGTCCAGTAGGCTAGGTGTATTAAATGCATTTTTAGCGTCACGTTGGACTCCCTGCTCAGCGGGGAATCTGCTTCTCCCTCTACCCCCCACTCGTGCGCATGCACTCGCTCTCTCTCAAATAAATAAAATCTCTTAAAATTAAAAAAAAATTAAAAATTAAAAAGTTAAATGCATTTTCAACTTTCTAAAAGAAAATGTCCCCCACTGTAAGCTAAGGAAGATCTATAATTCCACTTCTGGGAACGCAGTCTAATGAAAGTATTTATTCCAAGTAAATTTTTTTTAAACTGTGGAAAAGGCACAAGTATAAATATATTCACTGCAGTTAAGTAATATAAAAAATGAAAAATGACCTGAAAGGGACACAAAAATTAGAATTAAGTTTCTTTTTTCAACTCTTGGCTTCTAAAATTTTAATAATATAAATGTTTAAAATAGTAGTTTAAAATATTACTTGAAGGGGCGCCTGGGTGGCTCAGACAGTTAAGCGTCTGCCTTCGGCTCAGGTCATGATCCCAGGGTTCTGGGATCGAGTCCCGCATCAGGCTCCCTGCTCCGCGGGAAGCCTGCTTCTCCCTCTCACACTCCCACTCCCTCTGCTTGTGTTCCCTCTCTCGCTGTGTCTCTCTCTGTCAAATAAATAAATAAAATCTTTAAAAAAAAAAAAAAAAAATTACTTGAAGAACAATTGTTTTTAAAAAGAAATTTTAAACATGTTCTAGAAATATACATAAAGAAGGAAAAACTGTCTCTACTTCATTAAATTAAAAGGGAACCTCTGAATTAACACATTAAAACACCTGATCACCTAGACATCTCAAATTCATGTTAAAGAAGGCAAAATATTACAGATAAAACACATCCACCTTGAACATACTTTTTTTTTAAAGATTTTATTTGAGAGAGAGAGAGAGAGAGAGAGAGAGAGAGAAAACAACCAGGGGGAGTGGGAGAAGCAGGCCTATGGCTGAACAGGGAGCCTGATGCGGGGCTCAATCCCAGGACCTTGGGATCATGACCTGAGCCTAAGGCAGATGCTTAACGACAGAGCCACCCAGGTGCCCCTTGAACATACTTCTTTAAGACAATGAGTCAAAGACTGTGCACACTTAAGAAAATTCTGCATAGTGTATTCAGAGCAAATGAGTAGTAGAGAGAGATTTCTTTCCAGAATTTTAGCACCCTACCTTCACTCGCAGTTTTACTTTTTTCCCCACACCTGGCAGTCACCTCTCTTCTAAGTGAATTCTTTCCCTCCCCACGTCCCTTAGCAATTATCCTTTTCTGTTCTTGTCCGAAAATGGCTTTCCATAATCCCTAGTAAGACTGTTAGTGACCTTAGGAGGACCTCTTAATACTCTATTAAAAAGTCTTCAAGTCCTAAAAAGAAAAAAAAAAAACTATAAAAACAGATGATATGTATTGGTTTTTGCCTTTTTTGGGACAAGGCTTATCTCCTTATATACCTGAAAGAAAAACAGAAGAATTTATGAGGGAAATGCCCACTCCATTACTTGGAACCTGAGGTACAGAGTAGCATTTTCTATGGCTATTACAACTGTATTTTTGTTAATGGATTCAGCTTCTTAGATATCAGAAGGGTAACTGATCATAAAATGACAGATAATTTGTTTAACAAGCTGACTAAATGCCAAAAAACAGACATTCTTGGGGCACCTAGCTGGCTCAGTCAGTGAAGCACATGACTCTTGACCTCAGTATTATGAGCTCAAGCCCCATGTTGGGTGTAGAGTTTATTTAAAAAAAAATAGACATTCTTAAATAAAAAGTTCCCTAAAATCAATCTAAGAAACAAAACGAGAGAACAAAATTCTTAGCAACATAAAAATATCCATGAAACAAAGGACAAATTTTTAAAATGAATTACTATTACTGTTACCATTTAAATGGTATTTACATCAAAATAGTTTAATGAATCATCTCTAGGGCAGTATTTCTCTAAAGAATTTTCAGGGCTTCCTTTAATGTTATTTGAAAGTAAGTAAATATTATAAACCAAAATTTAATGAAAAGGAAAACAAAGTACTTTTTTGTTTTCATACAGATCTTCCCTCTACAAAAAGGATGGAGAATAAAGGTGGCAGAGGATAAAAGGCAAAAAGATGTCCCCCTATTTCCTTAAGAAATACTAATGTTCCTCATTATTAGCTTTTCCTATATGGAAATAACTGCCAACATACCAACGGGCATATTACATTCCAAAAGTTTATTTGCAAATCAGTTCTGAACTTGGACAGATAAACACTTTCAAACAGACTCAATCTTATGCAGTGGACTTTGGTTCCCAGGCCAGCATACATATGTCAATCTAATCCATAATTTACATTCATACATTTATGAGAATTGATACTATTATAATACTGTATAGTGCTTATTGCCCTTACCATATGCTAGGTACTGTCCTAAGTGCTTCGTGCATATTACTTGTTCAATCCTCACAACACCCTTATGTAAGCTAGATACTATCAGACCCATTCACATGTGAGGAAACCAAGTCACAATAAAATTAAGCAATTTATCCAAGGTCACATAGCAAGGAGGCACTGCCACCAAATGATCACATCAAGATTTCTAAAAGAAAATGTCTTCTAGGTCCCAAATGCGAATCACACACCACTTTAGCCCTGGTAATGAGCCTGGCAACTTCCCTTTCCCCTGAACTTCCTCAACAAGACAAAGAAGATTCCTCAAGGTCCACAGCTTAGAACTAGCACCGTGCTGGGGTGCCTGGCTCAGTTGGAAGAACATGCAATTCTTGATCTTGGGGTCGTGAGTTCAAGCCCGTTGGGGGTAAAGATTACTTAAATAAATAAACTTAAAGAAAAAAAACTAGCACAATGCCCTCTAAATCCTAACTGACACCATCTTAGTCTGGGTCAACAGCCTATTCACCCGTACCTTTTCTTTCAGAGTATTAGAGATTAGTTTGTGCTCTTCTTATACATTTGCTTATCACTATCTTTGCTTCCAAATCAAGAATTTTCTTCTTTCTTAAGCCACTATAAAACAGAACTCTCTCACCTTTTTAAAGACTATCCTTCTATTCCTGAAGCAAAAACAAAACAAAACAAAAAAAACAAAAACAAAAAACCAGCTTATATTTCAAGTAATCAGGCAGAACAAAAAATAAAAAGTACGTCTTCCCAAACAAAAACTATGTTTTGGAAAGTTCACAATAACATGGGTAAATGCTTTCACTTCTCTTAAGTAATATTAAGTGGGAAGGTAATATTAAGTAATATTAAGTGGGAAGGTAATATTAAGTGGGAAGAGAGTGGGATGTGGATGAGAAAGGAAAGGTTTTTTGTTTTTTTTTAAATCACCAAAATGTTAACAGAAATGGTTACTGAGTGGTAGGATTATGGGTGGTATTTTAAATTTGTTGCCACTTTTCCATATTATTAAAAAACTGAGATTATAATATGCTTAAAATTTTAAAAATACATAAATAAACATTATTTTGAAAAAAGACTACCTCTTCTGGTCTACTGTCTTTCTTCTACCCACACTTAAGAAAAGACCAGGGCATAACCAGAAAAAAGAATGTTATATTTGGATTACCTAAGAAGGAAAAAAGAAGAATTAAGATTTTCTTCCACTTAAATTATGAAGCAATGAATCTCCTTAAAATATATTTAATACATACTTAATAAATATATAATTATATGTATTTATAAGTATATATAAATATATATAAATACAATATAAATTAAAAATAATATAAAATAATATAAAAATATAAATATATAAAAATATAAAACTATGACCTTCTCAGTCCTTCATTTTTAGACAGACCTTAACAAAAAACTTCTGTCCTCTGTGACTGAAAATTTTTAAGCAAATTTCAACTTTATAATCATATACTCAAAAGAGGAATGAAGTATAAAATGCATCTTACTTAACTTCAAAGTAACAACAACAACAAAAAGATAAAATGCCAAAGGGAATGGTTAGCAATAAACATTCATCATGCAATGGGACACAGGTCAAAAGGAAGGAGTAAGAGAAAAAAATGGGTTTATATACTCTTCTCTCCCCCATTCCTTCTTCTTGGTCATTGACAATCCAATCACTTCTATTCATGCCTTTTGATATCCAGGTTAGTAAATATCTTAAGGGCAAAGTCTCTCTTAATCATCATTTTATCCCCACTGCTCAGTCATTAAAGAGCAAAATAAGGACCCAGGAACTCTGTTTAATAAAGATTTGTTTAACAAATAAAAAGTACAGATGAGACAATATCTGTCTTTATGGAATTAACTGGTAAAGAAAACAATCATAAACATATCATTTCAAATACAATTTTTGGTGCATGCTTTAACATATGCTCTAACAAGGGGCACAAATGAGGGAATGTTCAGTTCTACTTGGGGATCCAGGTAAGGGTTTAAGGGAAGCAGCTGGATTCTGAAAGATAAATATGAATTTTCTATGTAAATAAAGGATATTCCAAGGACAGCATGTGCAAAGATCAAGAAGATAAAATAGCATGGTGGGTGTAATGTGCATATAAATCAACCACAAATCTTGTTAAAGTACAAATTGATTCAGTAGGTCTAGGATGGAACCAGAGATTCTTCACTTATACTAAGCTCCCAGGTAATACTGATGCTGTTCATGTAACAATCACAGTTTGAGTATCAAGGAGTAAAGGAATTTATCAATAATTCTGTTTGCCTGGACCATATGGTTGGAAAGAGATAAGATCAGGATACAAAGTAAAAGCCTAACCACATGATGGTAAATTGTTTGACTATTAGAACTACCTCAGCTCAATAAACCATTCTGGCCTTAACAAGCAGTTAACTTAGTGCTCAGGATCTTAACAAATTAGATCAGCACCATGAAACTATAATAACTAATGAAAAAATAAGGGATAGAAGTCTGAAATAAGTAAAATAAAGGAGAGAGAAAACAAAATAAGAATGTCCAATTTTTATGCCATTGTAGGTCTGAATTTATACATATATCAAATTGAAGAATTTTTACTTACAAAGTCATCTTCACCTTCAGCTAACCCATAGTTAGGCAACATAGCTCCTTCCATTGTGGTACTTTTAAATACTCCTTTAATTTTGCTACCTATTCTGCTGATTCCAAATGATTCTCCTCTTTTCTGTGTGCTCCTAAATATTAAACAAAAATGTATCAAGTACATAGCGAATTATCACAACAGTCTAGTTTATTCTAAACAATAAAAATAGCTGTGAAAAGGGTAATCTGAAGATAGAGCTAACATAACTTTTTGGAGTTCTTAGTCATAGATTGAGTCCCAACATCTCAGAAGACAAAAGTGACAAAACATTTGAAGTTTAAATTTGGGGGTATGAATAAATGGGACAGTATTTACTAATAAATGTTTGGAATTTACCTACTATTTAAAACATTAACTGAACTAAAATGTTTTAAAAGATGAGAGCCCCCTAGTGGTACACAGTTCTTACTGCCATACATATTTTGAAATTAAAAATGTGGTAACATTCAAAACAATGTATCCATTTAGAACTGCACTGCTAAAATAACAGTGTAACAGAAAAAAATATAAAACTATGACCTTCTCAGTCCTTCATTTTTAGACAGACCTAAACAAAAACTTCTGTCCTCTGTGACTGAAAATTTTTAAGCAAATTTCAACTTTATAATCATATACTCAAGAGGAATGAAGTATAAAATGCATCTTACTTAACTTCGAAGTAACAAAAAAAAAAGATAAAATGCCAAAGGGAATGGTTAGCAATAAACATAAGTACAAAAGCAAATGTAGCCTAAGGAAGCAGCCTGCTCTGACATACATATTAAATATTGGTTTTATAATTTTTTTCAAAAGTAAATTTCTAAAAGCAGAAAGAGCTGGAAAGCAACAACAAAAAATAATCCAAAAAGCAGCAAAAATTTCCTCCACTACAGCCTACTGTCCCATGTTTCAACAAAGAAAAGCAGACCTTTTACCCAATTTAAAACTCATGCTCACTATGTAATGCTGCCCATACAACAGATACCCTTAAATAAATGACTATTTTAAAATCCAAAAAAGTTTGCTATGGATGCTTAACTTAATGGACAGCTATTATTCCCACAAGCAAAATTTATTTACTGAAATAACACAACAATTACAGAAATAAAAATAAATTGATCAAGTTTCAAATATACCTGGTACATTAATGACGTGCATTTTACACAAGTCTAAGGAGCAAATCAGACTTATTTTAAAACTGGAAAAACTCTAATAAACAGTTAGTAGTAAAAAGGGTACTTAAATCAGAAGATTATTTTATTTAAAGAAGCATTCAATCTGGTTTTTTTAAAATCCAGAACTGTAAACACAATTCTTTCTGATAGAGTGTTTCCAAAACCAATTATGAAAATGTTAACAAAATATTACTAAAATCTCTAGGATTTAGATAGATTATACAAAATTGGACTTTTTGAAATCTGACATTTTTTTAAATATCTCACTTCTGATTATCCCCAGAAATACACAAATACTGTACTTCTTGCTTTAAAAAAAAAAAGTTCTTTAAACACAGGTAATTCTAAAAGTAATTTAGCAAAACCAGTAACAAAAAAATCAATCAATCAATCAATAGCTTTGAACAGATGGATACTAGCTTTTTATTTTATTTTAAACTGACATTTTTATTTTATGACATATATCATGCTATTTCAAAAAGGAGATATCCAGGGGGGCCTGGTTGGCTCAGCTGGTAGAGCCTGAGACTCTTGACCTCAGGGTTGTGAGTTCAATCTCCACACTGGGCATGGAGTCTACCTCAAATAGATAAAATCTTAAAAAAAATAAAGAAAGAAAGAAAACAAAAAGGAGATATCTAGAATCAAATTAGAGGTTAAATTTAAAAGGATATCCCAGGGACACCTGGTGGCTCAGTGAGTTAAGCCTCCACCTTTGGCTCAGGTCATGATCCCAGGGTCCTGGGATAGAGTCCCACATCGGGCTCCTTGCTTGGCAGGGAGCCTGTCCCTTTCCCTGCTTCCGCTCTTTCTTTCTCTTACCCTCTTCTCAAATAAATAAATAAAATCTTAAAAAAAAAAAAAAGATATCCCAAAAATACAATAAGATGAAAACAGAGAGGGAGGCAAACCATAAGAGACTCTTAACTAAAGGAAACAAACTGAGGGTTGCCAGAGGGGAGGTGGGGGGGGGATGGGGTAATTGGGTGATGGGCAGAAAGGAGGGCACATGATGAGCACTGGGTGTTATACACAACTGATGAATCACTAAATTCTACCCCTAAAACTAATAATACAGTATATGTTAACTAAATTGAATTTAAATAAAATATTTTTTAAAAATAAATAAATAAAAGGATATCCCAAATAGTTGATATAAAGGCAGTAGTAATAGCAGTGTTTCCTTTTTCCCTTTTTGTTGTACTTAGGTTGTTTTGGACATATTTTCTGAACTTAAAAAGATAATTTATATAGAAAAAAATCACATGCTGTCTCAAGACTTACCGGAAATCATCCAAACTTAGGCTACCTCTGCAGTAACAGATAAGTGAAATTATATAAGGAAAGGAGAGAGAGAAAGCCCAGATATTAAACAAGTTTCACTTTAGAAAACAAAACAAAATTTAAAAGCTTTAAAGGTTACACAACTGGATAGCATTTATCTCTGCAAAGGGAAAGAATTTGTATAACATAATAAAGGAAAGAGAAAGCACCATGGCTGGGGGGGGGGGGGGGGAATTGGGGGTATGAATTCTAGACCATTAAAAAAAAGTTCTTAAACTACTGTCAGGAAATAACTGTATTTTTTGCCCTCGTTTAGGCACACCATTTGTTTGATATGGTGGAAAGTATGCAGAGACTAAGCCACCAAAAACTTGGCACAGAAAACAAACCCAGTGTTTTCCAACATGAAATTCAAGTCTGTATTAAATATAATTATATATGCTTCACACATTTTGAAATATATGTTTTAAGCTAAGAAACAAAGTGAACAAAAGAAAGTCCCTAAATATATTTTTTAAGTTATCCTTCGAGTATGGAAGAAACAGAACAACAGGTTAACATTAATATGCATTAAAATTTTTACTTTTAAAATACAATTGAACAGAATATAGACATAAAATATATGAATAAATATTTTACATATTTTAAGTCACTTAGCAAATTAGCAATGCTACTCTAAATTTTCAATGAAAGAATGTTAAGTAAGTCTTTTACTTATTTTATATAGGTAAATGAGTAAGTATCACAGAAGCAGAGTCCTGACAAGACTGATAGTTAATATTAAAGTCAGGTCAATATAAAGAAAAACATACTTTTAAAGACCATAATCAGTACACACAATGTAAAGAGTCCATATTTTCTTCCTGTTTATCTTATATTTTAAAGAGAGCAAAATTAGTGTAGTATGTTGAAAGACAACCAGGTGTTCTCAAAGTGGCAAAGAAAGATTTCCAGCTCTGAAGTTATGACCCTGACTTAGTTCCTCGGCAGGCTTATAAGATCAAAGAACCACTTTCCCCTAAATGGTCCTATACAGGAGAGTGATTAAGCTTAATATTCTACTATGGCACTCCAAAATCCTGTCTATAAACAGAAATAAATTCCACCTGCTTCTCAAATGATGCTGGAAAATTTGATAAAAGTCTTAAAAAACTATTCAAATAAAAGAAGAGGTATTTAGATTGGATAAAGTATGCTATTTTAAATAACAAGGATAGAATTTTTGTTTAAGTCAGTGTTTCATGACTGTAATATATAAATTCAACAATCAAAAAATTCAAATCTGTTTCTACATCCCTTGGTTAATGTCAAAAAATATAATATATCTTCCTCATGGCTAAGGTTTTCACATTTTTCCTTGTTCTATCTAAAAACACTCCAGTTTCTGACCTACTTGTGTCTTTGTACCACATCTCCAACTTACTTATATATCAGATTCTTGCTCAAACTGGAAGGTGTTGAGAGCAGTGTGAATATCTATTCTGTGGACTGACAGATTTGATATCTGTGTCAATTTTGTACGTACAACAATATAAGGGCAAATCAAGACATTACTTATCCAGTTTATAAATGGATAAAGCTCTCTTTTCTGTTACTTCTCTGAGTTACATAACTATGCACATATATTTCCAGAAAGGGAAAAGGGAAAGGGAGAAAAACCTCTCCACATTTGTAACCAGTAAGTACTCTAATAAAAAGTATTCTCCAGGGGGAAAAAAAGCTGTCTAAAATTGAGTTATCTATAGATTTCATTTATGCATGTAGTCCATAAGATCCAATAAAGCAGGTGATCAAGCACTAATATGTATTAATTATGATATTAGGAAGGCAATGGTGTGTATCTTGTTAAGTTTTTCTAAAAGAATTTCAGGCATTTTCAGGTTACTGTATACAGTACAACTCTATAATAACTTAATAAAATGTCTACTTATGTAGCAATGGCACCACATAATCAAAAAAGAACAGACACAAGAATAATTAGCAACAGCAAGTACAAAAACAAACCATACTGATGACTTACCATACCTACCTGTTCAATTTTGAATTGCGTGTTGGTGATTCTGCACCTCTTAAAAGTTGCCTGAAATACTTTAAAAAAATTATGATTAATCTATTTTATATTAAAACATGCTATTTTACCATACTACTTTCCACTTCAAAGAAAACAAAATTTAAATTAAGTGAAAACAACCATAGGCAAATAGAGTAAGGATTATAATACTGCAAATGGAGATATTCAGGTGATTTGATTTCCACATGTCTGTAAATAATGTATGTAAAAGTAGAATGGAGTTTCTGCAACACCACAGTATTATAAAGCCACTCAGGCATATGGCAAATCAGGTAGACCAATTTGGTCACAATCTACCTAATCAGATATATACAAATATGGTTTTGGTATTGAGAATTTTTACAGTAAACTTCTAATCTCCGTTAATTTCTGTAGTGAAAGAGTATTCACTTTTTAAATTAATCATATTTTATTTCTCTGTTTATTTTGTTATTTGAATCACTCATCTATTGATATCAAAGCCACTATGAAATTTTGAAGAAAAATCCTTAAACAAGATTAGTATTTTGACTTACCTCATCACTGTGGCAGAACATAGGAGTAAACACATTCTCCAAGAGAGACAGTACATGTTCGTATGCTTCAAAAAGACATCTCATAGTTTGAAGTTTAACAACATCTATATATGGGCCTTCAGCAACTATTAAAAAAAAATTACATTGTAGAAATTATTTATGAATACCATAAATACATTTTATTTTAGTTTAAAATAACAGTGAGAGAGCATACAAACAGTCCTAAAACTTTGTTTCGCAGAAAAGCCACTTGTAAGGTATAAAAATCAAACCAGGATGAGGAATCAGAACCACCAAGCTACAATTCTGGCAAGTATTAATTAGGTGAATTGTGAGTCAATTTCTTCATCAAAGCTTTCATCTTTTTAGTTAAATAGGAAAATGGCTACCTGTGCACCTCACAGAGCTGTTGTAATAATAAACACTGAATACAGAAGAAAATTCTGAAAACGTTAAAATTTGTAAAAGGGCTATATTCTCATCAACATCTTTGACTTACTTTTTTGAATCTCTTCTACAATAAAGGGATCAAATCGAATTTTGTCTATACTTTCATCCAAACAATATGTTTTATAAATCTTCTGCAATTCTTCATGAAGAGAAAGCATTTCATCATTTGATAACTCTGGTCGTAAAATTCTATCATTGAATTCCTCTAGCAAATTAGGAAAACGAAAAAATGAATTATTTCAATATAAAATAATACAATATATAATATACTCTTCCCAGTCTTATTGTAATCAATATTAAAAGCAGCAATGACAATCTATTCATCATTTTAAGCTTTCTAAAAAAATTTAATTGGAAATAAAATTTACCCAGATGAATGAGAAACTCAGTTAACCAAATATTTTATATGATAATAAAAATATGTAAATACTTGCACAGCAATACGAATTTCTAACATTTAGAATAGTATATTTAAAGAACGTATTCGATTAATTGTTTATACCAAGGGGCTTTAATATTTTGAAATCCAATTCACTAAATAACAGTGAAACCTAAGGTTTTTTAAGTTCCAGTCAATGTTTTTATTTTTATTTTTTTAAGATTTTATTTATTTATTTGACAGAGACAGAAACAGCAAGAGCAGGAACACAAGCAGGCAGAGTGGGAGAGGGAGAAGGCTTCCTGCCAAGTAGGGAGCCCGATGTGGGGCTTGATCCCAGGACTCTGGGATCATGACCTGAGCCGAAGGCAGACGCTTAACAAATGAGCCACCCAGGCGCCCCACAGTCAATGTTTTTAAACAATATTTCCTTCTATCATGGAGACTATAGACTACTAATGGAGCTGGGTGTGAAAACAAATTAATCTTTTTTTCTAAAATCACAGATGACAGCAGAACAGACAAAATATTAACTGCCTTTCCTTATTACAAGAGGTATTAACATGGAGTTCACCCCCTAATTTTTAATTATCCAACTGAAACATAAAGAGGAAATGAAATAGTTTTTAAAAAAGGAACAGAACATATATGATCTTGGGATAATAGCCAATTCATATAATTGGAGCCTTGAAGGGAAAGGAGGAAAAAAAAACGAGGCAAAATATCTAAAGAGATAACAGACACGAATTTTCTTTCTTTCTTAGATTTTTAGAGAAGGAGGGAGAGTGTGAGTGGTGGGGGTGTGGGGGAGGATAGGGTGAGAAAAGAGAGAGAATCCCAAACAGGCTCCATGCTCAGAGTGGAACCCAACACAGGGCTCAATCTCACAACCGAGAGATCTTGACCTGAGCCAAAACCAAGAGTCAGACACTTAACCACCTGAGCCACCCAGGTGCCCCAACAGCCAAGAATTTTCAAAAGTGATGAAAGACACCAACCTACATATTCAAGAATCTCAGTAAAATCTAAGCAGAACATATAAAAAGAAAACTACACAGCATAGTCAAATTTCTGAGAACCAAAAATTAAGAGAAAACTGTAAAACCAGCCAGGGAGAAAGGGGATATTATAAAAAGAGGTGCATACATAAGAATGGCAGGTAATTTCTCCTTAGGAGGAATAGTTATTGGGGCATCTGGGTGGCCCAGTCGGTTAAGTGTCCAAATCTTGATTTCTGCTCAGGTCATTATTTCAGGGTGTTAAAAGAAAAACCTATCAATCTGAAATTCCATATTTGGTAAAAATAGCCTTCAAAATGAAGACAAAATAAACATCTTTTCAAAAAGACAAAAACTGATAGTCCAAGATGGCAGAGGAGTAGGAGACCTAAGTTTCATCTCCTCCCAGGAATTCAGCTAGATCCCTATCAAATCATTCTGAACACGTGCAAACTCAACCTGAGATGTAAGAAAAGAATAACTGCAACTCTACATAAAGAAAGACAACCACTTTCTGTAAGAATGACAAGACAGAAAAACTCACCTCAAGAAAGAGAACAAGAGGCAGTACTAACTGCCAGGGACCTAATCAGTATGGATATAAGTAAGATGTTGGAACTAGAGTTCAGAATAATGATTAAAAAGATAATAGCTGGGCTTGAAAAAAAATAATGGAAGACACAAGAGAATCCCTTTCTGGAGAAATAAAAGAACTAAAATCTAATCAGGTAGAAATCAAAAAGGCTATTTATGAGATATAATAAAAAATGGAGGCTCTAACTGCTAGGATAAATGAGGAAGCAGAGAGAGTTAGTGATATAAAAGACCAAATGATGGAGAATAAAGAAGCTGAGAAAAAGGGATAAACAATTACTACATCATGAGCAGAGAACTCGAGAGATAAGTGATGTCATAAAGCGAAACAATATTAGAATAATTGTGACCCCAGAGGAAGAGGAAAGAGAGAGAGGGGGGCAGAAGGTATTTGGAGCAAATTATAGCAGAGAACTTCCCTAATCTGGGAAAAGAAACAGGCATTCAAGTCCAGGAGACACAGAGAACCCTCCTCAAAATCAATAAAAATAGGTCACACTTCAACATAGAATAGTGAAGCTTGCAAATCTCAGAGATGAAGAGAAAATCCTGGAAGCAGCTCAGGGGGAAAAGAGGTCTGTAACCTATAGGTGTAGAAACATTAGACTGGCAACAGACCTATCCACAGAGACCAACAGACCAGAGAGGACTGGTATGACATATTCAGGTTGCTAAATGAGAAAAATATGCAGCCAAGAATACCTTATCCAGCAAGGGTGTCATTCAAACTAAAAGGAGAGATAAAAAGCTTCCAGGACAAATAGAAATTAAAAGAACTCGTGATCACTAAACCAGCCCTATAAGAAATAGTAAAGGGGATCCTTTAAGTGAAGAGAGAGCCCAAAAGTAACATAGACCAAAAAGGAACAGAGATAATATACAGAAAGTGACTTTATAGGTAATACAATGGCACTAAATTCATATCTTTCAATAGTTACTCTGACTGTATATGGGCTCAATGCTCCAATCAAAAGACACAGGGTATCAGACTGGATAAAAAAGCAAGACCCATCAAAATGCCGTCTCCAAGAGACTCATTTTAGACCCACAGATACCTCCAGATTGAAGGTGAAGGGGTGGAAAACCATTTATCATGGTAATGGACATCAAAAGAAAGCTAGGGTAGCAATCCTTATATCAGACAAACTTGATTTTAAACCAAAGACTTTAATAAAAGATGATGAAGGACACTATTATCATAATTAAAGGGTCTATCCAACAAGAATATCTAACAATTGTAAATATTTATACCCCTAACATGGGGCATAAATTATATAAAGCCACTAGTAACAAAATTAGCACATTCATAATAATACAATAAGTAGGGGACTTTAACATCCCCCTCACTGCAATGGACAGATCATCTAAGCAGATCAACAAGAAAACAAGGGCTTTAAAGGACACACTGGACCAAATGGAGTTCACAGATACATTCAGAACATTCTATCATAAAGCAACAGAATACACATTCTTCTCGAGTGCGCATGGAACATTCTCCAGAATAGATCACATACTGGGTCACAAATCAAGTCTCAACTGGTACCAAAAGACTGGGATCATTCCCTGCATATTTTCAGACCACAACGCTTTGAAACTTGAACTCAAGTTTCAAAGAGACTAAAGAGCATCCTACTAAAGAATGAATGGGTCGGGGCAACTGGGTGGCTCAGACAGTTAAGTGTCTGCCTTTGGCTGGGGTCGTGATCCTGGGATCAAGCCCCACATCGGGTTCCCTGCTGAACAGGGAGCCTGCTTCTCCCTCTCCCTCTGCCTGCTGCTCTCCCTGCTTGTACTCTGTCAAAATAAATAAAATCTTAAAAAAAAAAAAAAATGAACTGGTCAATCAGAAAATTAAAGAAGAATTTTAAAAATTCATGGAGGGACAACTGTGTGGCTCAGTCAGATAAGCGTCTGCTTTCAGCTCAGGTCATGATACCAGGGTCCTGGGATTGAGCCCCGTGTTGGGCTTCCCTGCTCAGCAGGGAGCCTGTTTTTCCCTCTCCCTCTGCCCCTCCCCCTGCTTGTGCACGCACATGCTCTCTCCCCCAAATAAATAAAATCTTTAAAAAAAATTCACTGAAACAAATGAAAATGACAAACAACTGGTCAAAACCTTTGGGATTCAGCAAAGGCGGTCCTAAGAGGGAAGTACATAGCAATACAAGCCTTTCTCAAGAAACAAGAAAGGTCTCAAATACACAACCTAACCTTACACCTAAAGGAGCTGGAGAAAGAACAGCAAATAAAGCCTAAACCCAGCAGAAGAGAATTAATAAAGATGAGAGCAGAAATCAATGAAATAGAAACCACAACAACAGTAGAACAGATCAACAAAACTAGGAGCTAGTTCATTGAAAGAATTAATAAGAATGACAAATCCCTGGCCAGACTTACCAAAAAGAAAACAGAAAGGACCCAAATAAATAAATTCATGAATGAAAGAGGAGAGATCACAACCAACACCAAAGAAATACAAACAATTATAAGAACATTATGAACAACGATATGCCAACGAATTAGGCAATCAGGAAGAAATAGATGCATTCCTAGAGACATATAAACTACCAAAACTGAAACAGGAAGAAACAGAAAACATGAACAGACTCATAACCAGCAAGGAAATTGAAGCAATAATCAAAAATCTCTCAACAAACAGGAGTCCAGGGCCAGATGGCTTTCCAGGAGAATTCTACCAAAAATTTAAAGAAGAATTAATACCTATTTTTCTGAAGCTGTTCCTAAAAATAGAAATGGAAGGAAAACTTCCAAACTCTATAAGGCCAGCATTACCTTAATCCCAAAACCAAAGACCCCACAGAAAAGGAGAATTACAGACAAATATCCTGATGAATATGGATGCAATAATTCCTACCAAGATAATAGCCAATAGAATCCAACAGTAGAATAAAAGGATTATTCACCATGACTAAGTGGGATTTATTCCTGGGCTGCAAGGTTGGTTCAACATCCACAAGTCAATCAACGTGATATGCTACTTTAATAAAAGAAAGGACAAGAACCACATGATCTTCTCAACAGATGCAGAAAAAGCATTTGACAAAGTACAGCATCCTTTCTTGATTAAAACTCTTCATAGTGTAGGGATAGAGGGAACATACCTCAATATCATAAAAACCATCGACCAAAAGCCCACAGCAAATATCATTCTCAATGGGGAAAAACTGAGAGCTTTTCCCTTAAGGTCAGGAACACAGCAGGGATGTCCACTCTCAC